TGCCGGCCGCCTAGAAACATTCGGGTTTAGCCGCACGTCTCTCAGTATGGCTAAACCCGAATGATTCTAGTTCTAGGTCTTATGTTAGTTCTAGTTTTAGTTGAATAAAAATATACAACATAGTAATATGATATGCTAACTAACGCTACCTACCACTGCCACTAGAACTAACACTAGACCGAGACCTAGAAACATGCGGATTTAGCCGCACGTCTCTTAAGACGGCTAAACCCGAATGATTCTAGTTGTAGGTCTAGTGTTAGTTCTAGTTTTACACTATCACTAGACCTAGAACTAGAAACATTTGGGTCTGAAGACGCATGGCTAAACCCGAAACTTTCTAGTTCTAGGTCAAGTGTTAGTTCTAGTTTTAATTCTATAAAAATATGCAACACAGTGATATATGTATAATGCCAACTAGCACTTTGATTTCAAGAAAAAGTTTGGAATTGCATTAGTCAGACTACAACTTTATTAACCGGAGCTGTATGATGGAAGGATCTGGTTTCATGTGGAAGACTGATTTACCTCCCCACATAGCCGATCCTGATAGTATCAACTTATTTTTTTCATATCTATCAAAAAGAAGTGTCCGTGAATTCTATTGAGCGATTTCTACTCTTGATTAAGTGTACTAGTTTTGGTTCGGATGATATTTCTTTAAATATGGTTAGGTTGTGTTATCCTCGTATTTAATACGAGGATAACACGTATTTTGAGTATTCTTTGTCATATTTTCAATTTCTATCTATCAAAAGTGATGTTGAAAGATTTTACCATCCTTCCGGTTTTGTCTAAAGTGTTAGAAAAGATTATGGCGAAGCAATTAACATCCTTTTTAGATACTTATAACATATTACTTGACAAACAATCTGGTTTCAGGAGTCAGTATAGCTGTGCCACAGCGCTTCTTGACTTAACTGATGATATACAGGGTGAGTTATTAGTATTCCGGCAGTCGATAGAAATCATTATACATGGTGTTGCATTTGGGCGTAGCGGCAAGTATGTAAATTTTTTTAAATGGAACGTCCTGTAAATTTAGTTATCCAACCGTATATGTTGCTAACTAACAGTGTTAATAGTTCCTGACATATTCAATTGTTTTTCCAAATATCCGTTACAGGATCTTTTTAAAAACTATATAAAAATGACATTTTTTCCGACTTTGCCTTTAAACTATGCCAGATAATAGTCAAAACCAGTACGTGGATGATAGTATTCAAAGATGTTAGAAACATTGTAAATTTTGATGCTTTTTAAATGACTTTTTCATAAGTTTTTTAAATAGAACATCCTGTATATTATATGCTGATTGAATTGCCCATCAACTTCTCTTTAATTTGTATTAAGTATATCACATGTCCAATTTTAGTAGATTTCGTGATATTGAAAGAAAATTTTTTCATTTTGTATATTTTTGTCAGTTTTTCTTGTTCTTTCTGTTTTTGTTTGATTAATATTTTATAATATAAAACATGAATATCATAAAATTATGAGATTTACTTTTACTCTGTATTTTTATCACTTTTTGATTATTTATTTATGAAAAATAATATTTGCATAAATTTCAACATTCAAATATTCGTTTTATGAAAACTTAATTAATATTTGAATAACTCATTGTGTTTTAAGTCGGTTTGCCTATTAAGTTAATTAATAACTATTTGTTGTGCAATGTTTAGTAAGTGTTTATAGTTTGTGCTTTATTATCTCGACTACATAATGTTATTTATGTACTTTGCCGCTTACGTGCCACATCTTGTATATTGTGAAAACGGCACCTAAAATGTCAAAAGAAGTACTCCTTGGATGTGCCTTAGTTCTTGGAGCTTTGCTGTCATATCCTTAAGTAGACCTTCAGCTTTTAACACTTCCGATAATTCTTCAAAACCAGAGTCCTCAACTTTATTTAGCCGAGATACACATTTTTTTTTAGAGAAAAGTTGTAGGAAATTTACCACACTATAAACGAAAATATTTTTATACATACAGGGTGTTTCATAACGACGCCGACATACCGAAATAATCATATGTTATTTTAAATGAAATGATATCGTTTTTATTGCGTGTTGGAAGAAATGTGTATCTCGGCTCTTTAATCATTTATGTACTTTGCCGCTTATGTGGGACACTCCTATGTAAGTAAACCTACAATCCTCCACGTTATAAATTCTTCTGTTCTATAGCTATGTAGTTTGCTCTTCGGTATAATTACACAATACTTTTTTTATTATCTAGAATATCTAGATAATAAAGAAGCCAGCTAGTGGCTAGTAAAATTGACCGGTCTTCAACTTTACTCACTTACATATTTACTAGTAAACTATCTACATAGTTTACACGCTACCATAATTACATAGAGCTAGTTTACTAGTAGCTAGTAGCATATAAATCCTTTAGATCAAAGTTAATATAATTTTTATGTTGTACGACACTTTTAGAATCTGTGTGCATAGAGATGTAGATACGTCTGGATATTGTGTTCTAAACTGTTTTGACCTCCCACAACATTATGTCATTTTAACATTATCCTTAACAACTTCCAATATCGAACTTAGCCTCATCAAGATTGTCAACGGCTTTTCTTGGTATCTAGTCTATCATTTATTAACATTACCCTTGTTATCTCTCATCATTGTCCTTGATATGTTTCAATATCGTTTTTTACTTTTTTTAACATCGTCTACAGTATCTTTCTCGATTATCCTAGATATACAGTGTGTTAATTAATTATCGTACCCGACGTCATCATTGTAAGTATGCAACCAATATCGCACTATTAGTATTGCAATACGCAAATTGAGTAGAAATCGCGTATACTGTGATATTGGTTGCATACTTGCAATAATGACGTCGGGTACGATAATTAATTAACACACTGTATTTCAACATCTTAGCCTTCCCATCATTTATCAATCGAAACGTGCTGTCTCAATGTCTCAATATTGTGTGTTTTTGTATGTTTTGTCTAAAATATTTTGTGATATTGTACATATTCTCTAATATCGTCTATGATTGTCATTAATATTCTCTATATTTCGACATTTCGCAAGATATCACTAATCTCTCTTAATATATTTCCCATTATTTGTTAATATTATCCGAGATATCTTTCAAAACTATTTTGGCCTCCCTCAATATCACTTTTATTATCTATTAACTAAATTTATTATTGATATCCTTCAAAATATATATAAATCATTGTATCTAAAAGTTGTATTTTAAAACTTAAAATTTGTTAGAGTTGATAACCCAATATACACCATACTAAAAAAAAAAATTTGACATTGTATACATTCCACAGGTAATATAAAATAAAATCGAGGGAGAAGGTGTTGCTGCGCATGCATTTCGAAAATTCTCATAGAGGAGAGTTAGGGATACGCCCCAGAAGATCGTAACAACCCCCAGCACCGCCTTTCTGGACTTTCGACGACCAGGCAAGCAGAATAGTAATGGGAAAACCACATTCCAACGGACCGGCTTCAGTTTAATTCGACACGATTTCAATCTGCGCCAATTTCTGTTCGCCCAATACCAAGAACACCAAGTGTCGCTACGCTAGAGCCCTTCTGGCAACTCTTGCTACGCCGTGCTATGCTCTACCACCAAAGCCACTCGATTGTCATTAAAATATAATTTAAATATAACGAAATAAAAAAAAAATTTAAGAAAAAATTAATGGAAAAAAAGGAATCTGTAATATTTGAAATTTACAACAATAATTTTCTGGTGTCTTGATACTTGGTTTAATTCGAGACTACTCTTTAATTTATTATATCTGATTGTTCTAACATTTACTCCTTCGTTTAATGGTACCCTGATTAAAACCAGTTGGTGATTCCACCAACTTCGGTTTGATGGAAACAAAAAAATTAATTTAAAAACAAAAATAATTTTTATCAATTCCATCAAAATAATTTAATTAAACATTAATTTTATCACTTTAATTTTTGTTTCATCTTAATTTCTCCTCATTTTTAATATTTATCGTTATTAATAATAATAAAATAATCCGTAATCTTAAAACGCATTTTACAATAGTAATAAATAAAATCGTACTCACCGGTTAATTTTTGTGGGATTTCTGGATTTTCCTATGCGGAAGTTGGGTTCCTAGAGGATTTTCTCAGGTTTCTCAACAAATTCCAAACGCCGGTTTACCGATTCCCTGGTGATCTTCTGCTTCCCTGGTAGCTTATATAAAAATTTTCTGGAAAAAGCCAGAAAATAGAATCGGTGTTCGGGGAAACGGACCAATTTTATTAATAATATAACTAATATGGGCGGGTGGATACTATAAAAATGTTCCACAACACATCAATGGATCCTTATATTACAAATGAGACGAAGATGGCGCTATTTTAAATGTGCCAAGTTAAAAGGAGATGGAGATACGAATCTTTAGGATTAAAAAAAGGGATTAAAAACTCCTAGTTTTAATTAAAATTGTTTAAATAATGAATTATTTAGGATTAAAATCATTATTTAGTTATTATTAATCAATTAAATAACAAAAATTTAATTTTAAACGAAATTTCTACATAAAATCAATAGGTTACACATATTTCTCTTGTTATATTCTGATCTCCTGGTTTCCTTGCTCGAAATACTGCAACCATGTGTAACTTACATCATATGTGAGAGGATTTGATAAACTCACATGTTCTCTGTCTGTTTCACTTCGTTCATCTATTTCATCTCTCATTACGAAATTTTAATTTAAAGAAATAAGTATTGTGTATAAAGCAAAAAGGAGAAAAAAAATTAAAACACCTCCTGATGGTTCTTGATTTCCTGTTAGAAAAAAATAAAACTTTCTGAGTAAGAAAAAAAAGTTTTATATCAACTTGGAAAAAAAAAATCTTTTAACCTTGACCATTTAGTTCTAAGCGACTGGTTTTCTTTAGAAATCTTTAATTTTAGGAAGTTGACCCTCAAAGTTGTCTCAAACATCTCGTCTTCATTCGTTTGTGTTGTTATAAAATTATAAAGGTTTTAAAAGTTAAAAAAATGTTTCGTGGAATATTTGGTAGAAAATTTCGTGGAAATCGACTTGAAAAGCGATTTTATTCAATCGCACCAATTTTGGAACCAAAATTACCTCAATTAGGAGTAAGTAAAAATTTAATTCTCTCCTTGCTTCAGAGAGAGAGAGAAAATAACTTTTTTCAGCTATCGACCGTTATAGGGTTTTTCGATTATATTAATTATGAAATAACAGTATATTTATTTATTATTTTGGAGAAATTTTCTTTCAGTATTTTATGCCTCACTGAGATTAGTTTTATTTCCGTTTTTGAATATAAATCTTCATTGTTTATGTTGTGGAGTGGATGTTCGAGTGTTTAATTTTTGTCAGAATTCGTAAAAATGTTCTTTCTGCTTTCCTGATTACTTCCTTTGTTGACTCCGCGGAACATATAGTTGTGAGATGTCCATAATCGAAGAGTGGTCGGCATATACTTTTATATATATGCGTCGCCGATTTTACAGAAATACCCTTGTCTTTAGTCTGTAGGTCAATGATCTAAAATGTTTTGTTCGTCTTGTTACCTCTGTTTGTATTTTTTTTGTAGTGTGCTTTAAATTTCAACTTGTTATCCAGGGTTATGCCCAAATATTTGACCAAGTTTGTAGGTTTTGTAATTGATGTGCCTGTTGTGATGTGCTGGGATTGATCGTTGATTCTGGAGTGTGGGATCAATAGATTGGGGGGATGACTCTCCATTTGTGGAACCATGATGATATGTTGTTGAATAGCCTCTGGAATGATTCTATTGCTATTTGAAAGTTTTTTCATGCGATATTAGTGTTGTGTCATCTGCATATTGATGTAGCAATCCGGATCAATATACGTAGTAGTAGATAGTAGTCTTAGGACTACTAAGCCTTTTACTCCTTTTGCCCCTCATTTCGATTACTACAAATCTTTGAGAAATTTAGTTACATCGGCAAAATGTCGTGAAAAAAAAGCTTATTTCAATAGCACATTTAAAAATATGGACTGGCAGAGTAGTTGGAGGCTGTTAAATAGGTTGAACATCAGGAAAAAGTCCAAGCCAATTATTCCTGCACACCTGCATGATGCGAATGAAATTAATGACCATTTCTTAAAATCTGTCGGCTATACTGATGTAGATATTGCTTTACTTACGTTTTATAATACAAATATTCTTTTTGCTGAATCCCATGACTGGTTTTCTTTTAATACAGTTGATCAAATCGACAGCTGCTGGAGCCGATGAAGTAAATATCATATTTATTAGAAAATCCCTTCCGGACTAATTGCCATACATTGTGCACATCGTGAACTCCTGCCTTGAGCAATCAGTATTTCCCGATGCCTGGAAGTCTGTTGTCATAATGCCCTTACGAAAAAAAGTGAATCCTTGTAATTTCGAGTTATTCCTTCCAAGTTCCAGTTATTTCCAAAGTGTTGGAAAAGTGTTCAGCTGCGTACATACATGGATGACCACAACGTGCTACCTCCGTTTCAATCCGGTTTTCGACCTAGTTATGGTTGTGCCACTGCCTTATTAAACGTCACTGATGATCTCTTCAGGGCTCGCGATGATGGTCAGAATGAAGTGGTTGTACTCCTGGATTACAGCAAGGCTTTTGACAAAGTCAACCACCGAATGCTGTTATCCCTCTTGCATTATGTTGGTATATCTGAGTCGGCAGTGTCTCTTATAAACAGCTTCCTTTCAGGCGGAGTCCAGGTGGTGAGATTGGGAGAGGAATTTTCGGCTCCCTTACCCGTGAAGGCTGGTGTGCCTCAAAGATCTTCGTTAGCTCCGCTACTATTTACTCTATACACCTCTCAACTGCCCCATTGTGTTAAACACTCGTCAGTACACATGTACGCTGATGATATTCAGCTGTGACTTTTCACTTGACTTTTAGAAGAGAGCGCGGGATTGGATTAGTCTCGAAAAAAGAGACCGGGACATGGCACCTACTTTTTTCGTATCTCTTATAGTTTTTGAGATAGCCTACAATAACGCCCAAATTTGCGCACCCTGTACAGAGTAGGTGAGATAGGGGATCCTTGAGGTACTCCTCGGAGACGGGAGAAAGGGAAGGATGCAGTATCCTGTTGCGAAGATATTCATCTATAATTTTCGGGTAGGGTGTAGGTATTCCTAATTTATCCATCTTGTATAGAAGGCCTTGGTACCAGACTGTATCTTTATATATGTCAAGAAATAAGATCGGAAATAAGGATACTTTCGTAGATTTTTCTAATTACAAGCAGTAGGGTGATAGGGCGATAGCTTTGTGGAAGAGAATGGTTTGCTCCAGGTTTGGGGATTGTTATAATTGTAGCTTTTTTCCATGTTGATGGGAATATAAGGTTTTGCATGCAGAAATTTAAAAGTTTTACGGATTAAGTTATGTACTTGTAGGTTTAGTTGTCTCAGTAGTTTTTTGGTTATTAAATCCAATCCAGGGCATGAACTTTTTGATAGGTGTTCATCATATTCTTCTTGAATTATTTCTAGTATTCCGTTATGCGCGTGGGTTGGCATAGTTAGGTTGGTGATGATTGTCGTAATCGTGGTTTAGTTTGGGGGTGAACGTACTTTGAAAGTGTTGGGCAAGTATATCACATTTCTGTTGATCTGTTCTATATTCTATTGCCGGGTTTATACAGAATTTAGCTGTAAATTTAAAGATTTAGATTTAAGGATTTTATTTAGCTTTAAGAAAAAAACTGATTTATACAGAATTTAAGATTTACAGAATCGCAACCTCAAGAAACAAAATATTACTAGTTTTTGGGTTGCCATTTTCTACCAATATCTTATCTTTATGTTCAGAACATTTTTTATCGCAAATATATCGGTAGTTCTCAACAATTTTAATTAATTTTCCATCGAATTCACTCATTTTGTTGGCACAGAAATAAACAACAGTTGAGGTTAGGTTAAAACGCGCTATTTACACCGGCCGGTCATTGGATACAGCTGATTGAGGTCGTCTTGCGCATGTGTGACGCTGTAAATTTAGAAAAGTTGACCAACTTTATGTTTACAGCTAAATCTTACAGCTTTGTATAAACCCGGCTTATATTGTTGTACGTTATTGTCGGAAAGTCGCTGGTCTTCTTGTATTTTGACACTTTTTTGATTTTCTGCCAATATGTTCTGCCGCGATCCGTTTCTATTTCTTTGCATGTTTCTAACCAACGATCCAGTTGGTATTCCTGGATTAATTTTTCAATTTTTTCTGTTTTCTTTGTTTAGTTAATTTTTTAGTATTCTGTTGTTTGTTAACACTCTGTATATGTTCTCAACACTCTGTAGCTTGTGTAAGGGAGTTGTGAAAATCTTGTATAAAGTTCTCGTTTATTTGTGTTGTTCTGGATTTGTTTATAAAGGTTGTCATGTCTTCATTTACTTTTTGTACGTTGGTTCTGGTTAGGTTATATTTTGACCTTTCGGTCTGGGTTGGTGGGGTTTGGTTTGTGCAGATTTTGAACGTTATTCAGTGTGGAGATTAATATATCCGGGGTTGTGTCGTTGTTTGTATGTAGGGTATGTATGTCGTTTTTGAAATAAGAGTTGTCTAAGAACGATTGCAATTGTTTGCGTTTAGATGGGTTAAGGTTGAAATCGCCTATTATTATGACGTATTTGTATTGTGCTGTTTTAGAGAAAATGTTCTTTTCAAGAGGCTGATGTAGATATATGTACACAAGAAAGATGTGAATTTGTTCTTTATCGAAAGGGATGGTGAAGTGGAGACATTCATTCAGAGGTCTGTTAATCGATGGCGGGTTTGCTTTATCTAGAGGTATTGTTGGCTTTAGCAATATGAGAGATCCGCCTCTTGTCTTATTGGTATATCTTGTTTTAGTTTCTACAAATAGCATCATGTCTATACCATTTTTTGTAATAGTTGTAAATTATTTGCATATATGACTTTTATAAATTCTTTGGGAGCTGAGTAGTTGTTGATTTCCTCTCCGTTCGTCTCAATTGCTGATAATTGCTATATGTACCCAGGTTCTCTTGGTTCTGTCTCTGTTATTTCCATCGTATTTTGAATATCGCGGATTGAAGTCTTCATTCAACTGAATTAGTGTCTTCCATCTCCGGAGATGTTACTCTGTTGTAAGTGAGAGGGAATTGTTGTTGGTGGTGCGTTATTATCTAGGCGATCCAACATTACTATATAAGCAGGGTTGTCAGATATATTGACAAAAGTATCTATCTGGAATTAGTCCGCGAAACTGATGAAGACTTCCGTTCTGATTTTCTGGTTTATTCAATTCGTATATGTATGTGTCAATTATGTAGTCATGGATTGACATCGGTTTATGAATTCTTGAAGTTTTGACTACTTTTTCATTAATTTCCTCAGTTTTTTTGTTAGCGGATTTTATTTTAATTGTGGGGAGCCCTTCGATGGATTTAAGAGGGCGCTTTTTGCAGTTAGTAGTTTTCTTTGCATTTACCACATCACTGTGATTATTTTGTAAAGTTTGTGTCTATAGTTCTTCTTGCACAAGTTTTTAGAAAGCGTTGACTTCATTTGTTATGATTCTTATTTTTCTCGTTGGATTGTTGGTGGCGCGTGATATTATTCGTTTACAATATCTATGAAAGATAAGTTTGTCATTGAGAAAGTTATTAATATCTTCATCTAGAATATCTAGTTCCACATCACTTACAGTTTTGGATTAATTTTGAAAATCGTAATGAATTCTTTGTTTAGTTGTTTCATTTTGTCATTAAATTAGTAAGTAATATGCTTATTTGTATTTTCATTTAATTTTTGCGTGTTATTTTATAAAATACAGTTTTTGTGGTTTTCTGAATAACTCGCTTTGCCTTTGAGATGACATCCTTTGGAACGCCATGTTGCAAATTTCTCATTGGTGTTGTTTTCATATCAGGTCTTTTAGTTTGTGTTGATGTACACTGTGTTAATTAATTATCGTACCCGACGTCATCGTTGCGAGTATGCAACCAACATCGCAAATCACGTATTGCAATACCTGTACTGTAATATTGGTTGCATACTCGCAACGATGACGTCCGTATTGGGTCAATTCCAATATCTGCTTCTCGCTTCATTATCTTTCTTTTAGATATTCATCAACAACGAGTACCTCCAATCGATTTCTGGGAAAACTTTCAAAACGATCAACCCATCAAGCGGAGAAATTATAGCGGAAATTCCAAGAAGCTCAAAAGAAGACGTCGATTTAGCGGTAAACGCAGCTTTTGAAGCTTTCAAGCTAAACTCACCATGGCGAAAAATCGATGCTTCTCAACGAGGGTGTTTATTAAATAAACTCGCCGATTTAATCGAAAGGGATTTCATCAATTTAGCCGTAAAATTTTTTATTTCATTTTTGTATTTATAATTTAATTTCGAATTTTTTGTTTATTAGTCTTTAGAAACTTTAGACATGGGGAGTCCGTTTCCAACAACATCGGCTTTTATTAACGTAGGAATAAAAAGTCTTCGTTATATGGCAGGATGGGCCGACAAAAATCACGGAAAAACCATCCCAATGGACGGGAATTATTTCGCGTATACAAAATTAGAACCGATTGGAGTTTGTGGACAAATCACCCCATGGAATGGTCCCTTACTAACATTTTGTTGGAAAATCGCTCCAGCTTTAGCAATGGGGAACACCGTTGTAATAAAACCAGCCGAACAAACCCCATTAACCGCTTTATACATGGGGCAATTAATAAAAGAAGCTGGATTTCCACCTGGTGTGGTTAATATAGTTCCGGGATACGGAGATGCTGGTGAAGCTTTGTGTAAAAATCAAAAAGTCGATAAAATCGCATTCACCGGCTCAACTGAAGTGGGGAAAAAAATTCAACAATCATCCGGAATTGGAAATCTAAAAAGAACAACTTTAGAATTAGGCGGAAAAAGCCCCAATATAATTTTAGACGACGTCGACTTACCAACAGCTGTAGAATGGGCCCATCAAGCCGTTTATATGAACCAAGGTCAAGTTTGTTGCGCTGGATCAAGAACTTTCGTACAATCAAAAATTTACGACGAATTTGTTGAAAAGTAAACAATTAAATCATTAATTAATCATAAAATCAATATTATTTTAATTCCAGATCTATACAACGCGCTAAAAACCGCATTGTTGGAAACCCATTCGATATCAAAACAGAACAAGGCCCACAAATTGATCAAACCCAAATGGAAAAAATTTTAAATTTGATTCAAAGCGGAGTTAAAGACGGAGCTTGTTTAGCAACTGGAGGCGCAAGATGCGGCGATAAAGGATATTTCGTCCAACCAACCGTTTTCGCAGGCGTTCAAGACCACCACAAAATCGCCCAAGAAGAAATTTTCGGGCCAGTTCAAAACATTTTAAAATTCGACACATTAGAGGAATTAATCGAAAGAGCCAACAACACCAATTACGGCTTAGCGGCGGGAATTTTCAGTAAAGATGTTGATAAAATAAATTATTTAACCCAAGGAATTAGAGCTGGAACAGTTTGGGTTAATTGTTACAATGTGTTAAGTGCTCAAACTCCGTTTGGAGGGTTTAAAGATTCGGGATTGGGTAGAGAAATGGGGGAGGATGGGTTGCATCAATACAGCGAGGTTAAAAGTGTTATTGTTGGATTGGCACAAAAAAATTCTTAATAAGAAAATCTTTAAAATAAAATTAATTGTATTTTTTTTGAATATACTCTATATTCTATATTATTTAGATTTATTTCCAAAAGCATGAAACAAAACAATCAAAAGTATTAAGTCAGATCTCCATGACATCCTCGTAAATTTCGATGTGAAATCTCTATTTACCATACATATTCCAGGGCTAGTGGTAATTCTACGAGCAATGCGTTGTCATCGATAACCAAAGCTATGGCTTAGTTTGGTGATATCTTTATGATTAGGCAGCATGAAGAAGATCGTCTCCAAAAGAATACCATGATTAAATTTACCATGGAAATGGTAGCTGCAAATCAGTTACCTTTCCTAAAGTTTCTGTCATTAGGAAAACAGATCCAAACCTTGTTCCAACGAGCAGAAACGATATGCGATGGAAAGAATTAGAAGAAAGAAAAGTTTTTGAAAGCTGTACTCCAGAAGAACGGCTACGCTCTAAGCGGCTGTCAGGACTTCTCGTCAAAATACAAATAACATTAGCTGCTTGGTGCTAGCTCAACATGTCTTAGTAACCAGATCTTGTACAAAACGAACTTTAGCTAGCTCAGTTACTGTACAGTGCATAACAGACCGGCATATTGAGTATGCCAAAGGTGCAGAGTCTGCGTATGATATGATAGAATCATTGAAGTCTGCTGCTAAGAGAATGAACAGAATTATTTTAGACGAGGTACGTTGGAAAGCTTTGAATGGAGATACACCTGCTATGAAACATTATGGTAGACTCGATTTAAATAAGTTAATGGTATTTCGAGCAAAAACTTGGGTATTGAGATTACCAAAAAAAAGAAAAAATTAAAAAAAGAGCTTTGGAAATGAGATTGATAGGATATTTTGCAGAAATAGTAATATCTATAGATGCCACATTCGATGAAAATGATATTAAATATGTATCGGAAAGTAATGAACAAATAATAATTCAAAATGTTACAAACAATGAAGAAAATGATGGAGAGAAGAAAATTAATCAAGAAATTGAACTAGACACAAATGAAAAAGAGAAAGAAAACGCAACAAACGAGATCAGGAAGAATATTGAAGATGGCAAAATACTTAGATGATTATGAAACACACCTAGCATACTGTTTGTTAACAAGTAATGAAGAACTACAAACATACAATGAAGCAAAAGAAGATAACGGCTGGAAGTTAGCTATAGAAAACGAATTAATTTCATTGAATCAATTTAATACATAGGTAGTCAATAATAAGAAAAAAATTAATTGAAACAAAAGGGTATTTAAAATAAAACACAATGGTGTAAAGAAGGCGAGATTAGTATAGTAGAAACCTCGAGAGCTGGCAGTGACTTGACGTTTAAAAATGGTATGAATCAAGATATGGACGTATGACTTACATTATTTCATCACATACATTTAAATGTAGGTTATGTTAGTAATGGAGCTTATATGTCAAACATTGTCAAAGATACATAGGAGAGGTTAACCAGTGAAAAAACGTTAATATTAATTTATAATAACTTAAAACGTTCCTTTCAAAGAAAACATCTTCGGCTTGTGAAAACACTAACAGATTCACGACAACGCTCACAAGACGTTTCGATTTGAGGTTAGAATTACGGTAGACGTACTTTTTCGACGTGGCTATTTGAATTGTACAGCAGACATATTAATCTAGTGCTATCTCTTTCTAACACACATTACTTTCTAGCGGTTTGTGAGTTTTAATTTACTACGTATGGCATTTGTAAGAGCAGAAAACGACGATTTACTGCCACCTCTCGTGGTTTCTACTATACAACTGTACCTCTGTTCATAGTGATATAGCATAAATCCCTAAAATATCAAAATTAGACGATTTTTCTTAATGAAATTAATTATAATGTAAGTACTAAAACTGACTAAAGACGTTATGAATGAAAATATTTCTAATCCATCAAGAAATCATAATCCATAATTATTTCATATTTACTTATCATCAGTTTCTAGTGATACAGCATAAATCACAAAATATCAAAATTGGACGACTCTTAATAAAATCAACTATAACGTAGGTACTAAAACTGATGAAGAAAGACGTTATGAATAAAAAATATTCCTAATGTATCAAGAAATTATAGTCCATACTTATTTCATATTTATCTATCACCAGTTTCTAGTGATATGGCAAAAATCTCAAAAATGTCAAAATAGGACTTTTTCCTTAATAAAATCAACCATAACCTAAGTACTAAAACTGATGGAGAAAGACGTTATGAATAAAAAATATTCCTAATGTATCAAGAAATTATAGTCCATACTTATTTCATATTTATCTATCACCAGTTTCTAGTGATATGGCAAAAATCTCAAAAATGTCAAAATAGGACTTTATCTTAATACAATCAACTATAACCTAAGTACTAAAACTGATGGAGAAAGACGTTATGAATAAAAAATATTCCTAATGCACCAAGAAATCATAATCCATAATTATATCATGTTTATCTATCATCAGTTTCTAGTGATATAGCATAAATCGCAAAATGTCAAAATTGGACGATTTTTCTCGTCTACTATAGCAAAAGGCTATAAGGAAAATGTTGTTCATAATGTTCTGGATACAAAGTACATCAACTTGATATACCAAGTGCCTTTCTAAATGGTTATCTGCATTCAGAAATTTATTTAAAAATACCAGAAGGATTCAAGATTGATGATACGAATTATGCATGGAAATTAAACAAGGCAATTTATGGTTTACGAGAATCACCGAAATGCTGCAACGATACATTTAATAAGTTCGCACAAAGGAACAATTTGAAAAGATCTGGATCGTTGATGATATCATTATCAATGGAGAAGAAAAATGCTACGAGAAAACTAGCTACATTATTTAACTAAAGAATTTAATGCTAAATATTTAGGAAAAATAAAAATGTTTCGAAGTTTGGACATCGAAAAGAGAAATTCCACATAGAACATAGGAAATTATGTAAGTGAACATTAATTGGATGTTTGAGTTATTTGGCAGCAATATCTAGACTTAATATATCATTTGCAACATCCTTTTTTGGGAAGATTTTTGGATAAACCAACCATGGGTACATGGAAGGCAGCAAAGAGCTGTTTAACATATAGAAGACATGATTTCAACGGAAAATCGAAGCGTACTCTGATCGTAAGAGTGTAAGTGGCGAATTACTATCATGGAAATTTCATGGTCATCAAAGAAACAGCAAACCGTTGCATGATCAACAGCCGAATCTGAGTATGTAGCAGTTACAAAGTGTTGTGCAGAAAATGTGGGCTGGCTAAAGATTTTGACAAAATCATTTTGATGGGACCAAGGTGCTAGCCCAAGCCGGAAATTGCTCTCAAAGAATGACAAAAGAGGCCATAGACATCCATTGGCATAGGAACAACATGAATAGAGAAAACAGCTGGGGACTTAGATTATAATCTATTTCGTCACTTTCAACTAGTTTCTGAAGAAAACTAAACCCAAAAGTTTCTAGTTCTACATTTACTATTATTTCTGGATATATAGCCAAAGTGCTGCATCATCAGTTATTTCTTAGATTTGTCGATGACGTTTCATTTAATTTAATCGAATTTCAAGTTTTTGTAATCTTAATCAAATCATTATCTGAAATTAAAAATGTTCAAACATTACCCTTCCAAGTAACATAAATTTTTTATCACAAATTTTATAATTTAAATATTTTTAGTACTCTAATTAACTTTTTAATGATTAAAATTTATCTTTTTTATCAAATTTGTTTCGTAACATAACGAAATTTCTACAAAAATCGAAATACAAAATTTATTTTTTCATCTTGTTATGTTTCATGTCCACAAATAATTGCAAACAAAGTTTAGTTCAAGGCCGGAACTCAACAATTTACAACTCATGACTTTTAAATTTGGGTCCTAACAGTATCATTATTTTGCAAATCACGTTTTCTCCTCCAGTTGGATAGTGATACAGCAACATCTCTACTTTGAGTCGTACTTTAAATTCTTAATATTAAAGCGCATGCGTGAGTTTATCTACAAAAATAACTCAAACCGGCGTTTTAAACGTAGTCTTGTTTTTGCCGTCGAATTAATACTATCAAAATGATGCGTTTAACTCGTGGTTTAAGAAAACTTCAACGGAACTTCTCCACGATGGGTCTTCCAGAACCTATCTTAAAACCAAATTTACCACCTTTAGGAGTAAGTATTAAAAACAATTAATTAATTTTTTGTTTGTGGAAATTGTATAAAAATCGTCGCTATTTTAAACATTTCTTATCAACGCAGCTGATAAATCGAATATCTTTAACTCTACCCACTATGTCTTATTAAAAAATAATTTTATCAAAAGCAATTTGAAACCATGACACGCATTACAATTTAAATTATTCCACTAATATGAACTATTCCATGTTCATAGATAAACTCGGGATATATTCCGAGTTGCCAATTCGATGTATAAATCAAGGACGGTACTTCTAGGTTTAATTGCTGGTCAGCGTTAATTTGTTGCATGTTTTTATTGAACAAAAAAATAGAACTAACACTAGACCTAGAACTAGAAAAGAATAAAAAATGCTTTAATTTGATACCAAACACGATGTATTTGGTGGGTTAAAAAATAAAAAAGTGAGGTTAGTAAATGTCAAAATTGAAAATGATTTTTTTGATAAATACTGAAATGATCTTAATAAGAATCAAAAATGCTTTAATTTGATACCAAACACGATGTATTTGGGACAAAAAATAAAAAAGTTAGATTAGAAACTGTCAAATGTCAAAATTGAAAATAACGACATTTTGATAAATATTGAAATGACCTTCATAAGTGTCAAATATGCTTTAATTTAATACCAAACATGATATATTTGGGTTAAAAAATAAAGAAGTTAGGTTAGTAAACGTCAAAATTGAAAATGATTTTTTTGATAAATATTGAAATGATCTTAATAAGAATCAAAAATGCTTTCAGTTGATACCAAACACGATGTATTTGGGTTAAAAAATAAAAAAGTTAGGTTAATAACTGTCAAATGTCAAAATTAAATATAACGATTTTTGATAAACATTGAAATCATCTTAATAAGAATCAAAAATGCTTCAATTTGATGCCAAAAATGATGTATTTCGGTTTTAAAATAAAAAAATTAGGTTACAAACTGTCAAATGTCAAAATTAAATAAAACGATTTTTTGATAAATATTGAAATGATCTTAATAACAATCAAAAATGCTGTCATTTGATACCAAACACGATGTATTTGGGTTAAAAAATAAAAAAGTTAGGTTAGAAACTGTCAAATGTCAAAATTAAATATAACGATTTTTCGATAAATATAGAAATGACTTTAATAAGCGTCAAAAATGCTTTAATTTAATACCAAACGCGATGTATTTAGGTTAAAAAATAAAAAAGTTAGGTTAAAAACTGTCAAATGTCAAAATTAAATATAACGATATCTTGATAAATATTGAAATGATCTTAATAAGAATCAAAAATGCTTTCATTTGATACCAAACACGATGTATTTGGGTTAAAAATAAAGAACTTAGGTTAGAAACTGTCAAATGTCAAAATTAAATATAGCGATTTTTTGATAAATATTGAAATGATCCTAATAAGAATCAAGAATGCTTTAATTTGATGCTAAACACGATATATTTGGGTTAAAAAAAAAAAAAATAGGTTAGAAACTGTCAAATGTCAAAATTAAATATAACGATTTCTTGATAAATATTGAAATGATCTTAATAAGAGTAAAAAATGCTTTAATTTGATACCAAACACGATGTAGTTGAGTGAAAAAATAAAAAAGTTAGGTTAGCAGCTGTCAAATGTCAAAATTAAATAAAACTTTTTTTGATAAATATTGAAATGATCGTAATAAGAATCAAAAATGCTTTAATTTAATACTAAACACGATGTATTTGGGTTAGAAAATAAAAAAGTGGGATTAGAAACTGTCAAATGTCAAAATTAAATATAACGATTTTTTGATAAATATTGAAATGATCTTAATAAGAATCAAAAATGCTTTAATTTGATACCAAAGACGATGTATTTGGGTTAAAAAATAAAAATGTTGGGTTAGAAACTGTCAAATGTCAAAATTGAAATTAACGATTTTTTGGTAAATATTGAAGTGAACTTAATAAGAATCAAAAATGCTTTCATTTGATACCAAACACGATGTATTTGGGTGAAAAAATAAAAAAGTTAGGTTAAAAAACTGTCAAATGTCAAATAATCGCCATTTTTTTTTGGTAAAGACTAAAATATCTCGATAACGGTTGGAGATAAATAAGTCGAGTTTGGGCTCATTTTAAAGGATTTTTTATTTTCTATCCATTAATGTTAAGAAACGAACAGCTTTATAACTAAAAAAAATTTCGGAATTGATCCTTATTAAGAAACAAAAACATCATCGTATAATGTTTTAATCAATTAATTTTTTAGATATTTATAAACAACGAATTTCGCCCATCTAAATCTGGACAAACATTCGAAACTATTAACCCATCAACAGGAGAAGCAATCACGCAGATTCCAAGAGGATCTAAAGAAGATATCGATGACGCAGTTAACGCCGCGGTTGATGCCTTTAAATTAGGATCACCATGGAGGACTATGGATGCGTCTGAACGTGGCAGATTACTTTTTAAATTGGCTAGTTTAATGGAAAGAGATATAGCCATTTTAGGAGTAAGTCAATTAATTTTTAAAGATAATAAATAATTAATTTTAATTTTAGAGTTTAGAAACAACCGATATGGGGAGTCCTTACACAATCACAACAGCTTTTTCTGGAATGGCAATGAATACATTAAAATATTACGCAGGATGGGCCGATAAAAACCACGGAAAAACCATCCCAATGGATGGAAATTACTTTGCTTACACCCGCCACGAACCAGTTGGAGTTTGCGGCCAAATCATTCCATGGAACGGACCTTTAGCCATGTTTTGTTGGAAAATCGGCCCAGCTTTAGCAATGGGAAACACCGTTGTGGTAAAACCAGCCGAGCAATCCCCATTAACCGCTTTATACATGGGGCAATTAATAAAAGAAGCTGGAATTCCACCTGGTGTGGTTAATATAGTTCCGGGATACGGAGATGCTGGTGAAGCTTTGTGTAAAAATCAAAAAGTCGATAAAATCGCTTTTACCGGCTCAACTGAAGTGGGAAAAAAAATTCAACAATCATCCGGAATTGGAAATCTAAAAAGAACAACTTTAGAATTAGGTGGAAAAAGTCCCAATATTATTTTAGACGACGTCGACTTACCAACAGCTGTAGAATGGGCCCATCAAGCCGTTTATATGAATCAAGGTCAAGTTTGTTGTTCTGGATCAAGAACTTTCGTACAATCAAAAATTTACGACGAATTTGTTGAAAGGTAATAGTATATTAAAAAACAAGTAAGACATGCTTGAAATGCACGAATTCAAGTTCAAAAACGAGTGGCGAAGCCACGAGTTTTTAATGAATGAGTGCTTTAAGTCTTATGAAACGAGATTTTTATGCTATTTTTTGTAATTCGCGTTTTTATCCTTTTTTCTTAACCTCTTAAGCGCTTATGTCGCATATAATCGTCATCACGAAAGTCGCTGCGAAGTGGGTATGCCGGATATATTCGATTTATCTTAGAAATTAAAGTGATATTCAATAGGCAAGACGATTTTCGCCACGTATATTCTATTTTAGGCTAGTGTAGACTTCGGTCTAACACATGTTTGAACTGGTTTCACGTTTTAATTCGCTGTTGTTGATATTCCTTCGAGCGATTCTGGTCTTCCTCGACCACATTCCATTATATACACTGGTGAAGATACATGACGATTTTAAAAATAAAGATGTAAAAAAATAAAAAGTTAGGTTAAAAACTGTCATATGTCAAAATTAAATATAATGATTTTTGATAAATATTGAAATCATCTTAATAAGAATCAAAAATGCTTTCATTTGATACCAAACACGATGTATTTGGGTTAAAAAATAAAAAAGTTGGGTTGAAAACTGTCAAATATCAAAATTAAATATAACGATTTTTAGTAAATATTGAAATCATCTTAATAAGAATCAAAAATACTTGAATTTGATACCAAACATGATATATTTGGGTTAAAAAATAAAAAAGTTAAGTTAGAAACTGTCAAATGTCAAAATTAAATGTAAGTTTTTTAGATAAATATTGAAATGATCGTAATAAGAATCAAAAATGCTTTCATTTAATACCAAACAAGATATATTTGTGTTAAAAAATAAAAACGTTAGGTTAAAAACTGTCAAATGTCAAAATTAAATATAACGATTTTTTGATAAATATTGAAATCATCTTAATAAGAATCAAAAATGCTTTAATTTGGTACCAAACAGGATGTATTTGGGTTAAAAAATAAAAAGTTAAGTTAGAAGCTGTCAAATGTCAAAATTGAAAATAACGATTTTTTGATAAATATTGAAATGATCTTAATAAGAATCAAGAATGCTTTCATTTGATACCAAACACGATGTATTTGGTTTAAAAAATAAAAAATGTTGGGTTAGAAACTGTCAAATATCAAAATTAAATATAACGGTTTTTTGATAAATATTGAAATCATCTTCATAAGAATCAACAATACTTGAATTTGATACCAAACACGATGTATTTGGTTTAAAAAATAAAAAAGTTAGGCTAGAAACTGTCAAATGTCAAAACTGAAAATAACGACTTCTTGATAAATATTGAAATGACCTTAATAAGCGTCCAAAATGCTTTAATTTAATACCAAACATGATATATTTGGGTTAAAAAATAAAAAAGTTAGGTTAGAAACTGTCAAATGTCAAAATTAAATATAACGATATCTTGATAAATATTGAAATGATCTTAATAAGAATCAAAAATGCTTTCATTTGATACCAAACACGATGTATTTGGGTTAAAAGTAAAATAGTTATGTTAGAAACTGTCAAATGTCAAAATTAAATGTAACATTTTTTGATAACTATTGAAATGATCTTAATAAGAATAAAAAATGCTTTAATTTGATACCAAACACGATGTATTTGGCTTAAAAAATAAAAAAGTTAGGTTAAAAAACTGTCAAATGTCAAATAATCGCCATTTTTTTTTGGTAAAGATTAAAATATCTCGATAACGGTTGGAGATAAATAAGTCGAGTTTGGGTTCATTTTAAAGGATTTTTTATTTTCTATCCATTAATGTTAAAAAAAGAACTAACTTTTTTAGATAACTAAAAAAATTTTCTGAATTGATCCTTATTAAGAAACAAATATGACTTCATCCGACTAATCCACTAGTAAAAATTATTCATTCAAAGAGTTCAAGGACATTCCCGTCGCGTATTATATTCGCCACTTTTTGGACATAACTACCATAAATTGTTACCAAATTCATCAAACACTTGGTGATAAAAAATAACGGCTACATTTTTTGATGGACCTGGGTGAAATGCTTGTCGAAAAATATGCTAATCTTTCAGAAGACCGATCAAGGACACCAAGGCCTTCTTGGCTACTAGAGCGACATTTCCCAGATTTCATTCCACTTACAACAAAACAAAAGCCGACAAAACGATGCGTCCTTTGTTGTGAAAACAAAATTAGAAAGGAATGACGATACTGGTGCAACCGAAACGTCAAACATTTTTTCAAAAGACGCACTACTTAACTCGAAAGTTTCTAGTTCTAATTGTAAGTCCAGTGTTAGGTCTATGTTGTTTTAATAATGAAATAAACCTAATAAGCAGAAACTGTAATTAATTTTGTTGGGTGTGACACATACGCTCGACGTAAAAAGCGCTTAAGAGGTTAACAAAAATAAAATAAAATTTTGACAATGTAGGGAAATAGGTATGTAGCAGTTGGTAACACCGTAACACTTGAAAATAGAAATTTGAATTGACAATTAGAAACTGTCAAAACACAAAATGTATTCACCTGAAAAAAATGTTTCATGTACACCTCTCAAAATAAGAGAAATTGCTCAGTGTTCATCATTGTGGACCTTGTATTCGATGCTAAGAACGTGTTTAAACATCCATAAACAAAAATTGTCACATTGACAACTAGAAAAATTAATGACCCAATGTTACCAACTTGAACTGGTTCCATAAAATGTTACTAAAATCTCATTACAGCACTCGTTTGAGTACTTCGTTACCGCCGCGAATTACAAAAACAATTAAATCATTAATTAATCATAAAATCAATATTATTTTATTTCCAGATCTGTAGAACGCGCTAAAAACCGCGTTGTTGGAAACCCATTCGATATCAAAACAGAACAAGGCCCACAAATTGATCAAACCCAAATGGAAAAAATTTTAGGTTTGATTCAAAGCGGGGTTAAAGACGGAGCTTGTTTAGCAACTGGAGGTGCAAGATTCGGTGATAAAGGATATTTCGTCCAACCAACGGTTTTCGCAGGCGTTCAAGACCACCACAAAATCGCCCAAGAAGAAATTTTCGGTCCAGTTCAAAACATTCTAAAATTCGACACATTAGAGGAATTAATTGAACGAGCCAACAACACCAATTACGGATTAGCAGCGGGGATTTTCAGCAAAGACGTCGACAAAATAAATTATTTAACACAAGGAATAAGAGCTGGAACAGTTTGGGTTAATTGTTATAATGTGATAAGTGCTCAAGCACCGTTTGGAGGATTTAAAGATTCGGGGTTGGGGAGAGAAATGGGCGAATATGGGTTACATCAATATAGTGAAGTTAAAAATGTTGTTATTGCTTTACCACAAAAGAATTCGTAATAAATATTTAAAATAATGAAAAAATTTTTTGATATAGCGCCATCTTTGAAGAAAACAAAGAACTAAATTAGACATTTAATGAAATAAATTTACCTCCTCGATATTCGGAATTTTCCTCCATCTCCTAAAACCTCCTGCTCTCCGAATACAAAACGTGGTCGTGTGACGTTCACTGCCAAAGATGATAGACGGCTGACAGCTGGAGGCGGCCCCATATCCCTCCCCTCGATCGCCCCCTGTTAAACTTAACTTGAGAGGGGCCCTACGTTTTTTCAACGAAATCGGCCCCGTCTTCTGGGGGCTTCGCGCGCACTCTTGAAGAACCACGTCGTGACTCCTCCGCTCTCCGGAGGTGGAAAAGGAAGCTCGGAAGCAGATCGAGAGCAACATCTTCCCCATTTTGATCAGGAACACAGAAAACGCGGTAGGTGTCAAATTACAGTTCTTAATGAAACAGCGCCATCTAGGTTTGAATAGTCAAAGTAATAACATTAATTAAAAATTTAATAAACAATTTTTTAAAAATAATGGATTAAAATCAAATTAAGGATAAAATTCAAAATAATAAATTGAGATTCAAATTAAACATAAATTTAAATTGAAATAATATGAATTACAAATTTAACATCGTCAAGTTTAACTCAATAAAGATATGGTAGATGTCGCGACTGTTTCTAACCTATATTTAAATTAATGAAGTTTATAATAAAAATAAATGGGAATTAACGGTATAAAGAAAGAAAATCAAGATTATTATTAATTAGAAAAAGCAGATCATGTTAATTTTATGTTTATAAATAGATTAAGGTTCTATTAACCCGCAATCATAAATGTTTTAGGTAAGATCTATGAAAAGATGTTTAAACTTTCTCTTAATCCTAAATTCCTAGACTACATCACACCTACTTTCTTAAACAGGACACACTTTGGCATTAAAATGATACCCCAAAGCAACTTTAGCAGAGGTAAAACGCTGACCATCTATACTGATGGTTCAAAGAAGGCTGGAGAAGGCTGGTAAGTGACAAAGCTGCATAAATTTCGCCCTTAAAACATAGAATTTTGCAAAACTATGACCGAAATGATCATTACGAATCCAAATTTAGTAAAAAACATTTGGTTCAGTGATGAGTGCACTTTTTACTTAAATAGACATGTGAAGAAGCTTAATGTACGATATTGGAGCAACGAAAATCCCCATATGATTAGAGAAGAACATACCCAGAGACCTCAAAAGCATTAATTTTTTGGGCAGGAATACCAGGTGATGCAATAGTTGGACCCATACTCATTAATGAAACGCTAAATGGTGACGTCTACTTGAATATGTTGGAGAACTCATCGATCTTCTAATAAAACCAGCTTGTCTAATCACCTCCACAATCACCAGACCTCACAAGTCCTGACTTCTTCCTTTGGGGTAATTTAAAGTCAATGAATCGTCAACGAATTATCAACGAGTGCCGAAACTTTCCATGAGATTTTTTTCAGAAAGTAAGGCAAGAATTTGAAATCTGGTTTTATTACTGCATGAAGGAATAAAATTAACTTCGTTTTCTTTGGGTTAATGCAAAGATCATCAAGTCCTCATTGATTTTGGCACATGCAACATCTACCTCCAACTCAGAGGAGAAATAATATATTTGTGTGTCATCAATGCCTCATTATATTCTTGAATTGATTTGTGTATATGCTATATAAGATCGGAGATAATGTAGATCTCTGTGGACATCCAATTTTGAACAGTGCAGGATCATAATAACTCTGTGATAAATACTCTGTTTGATGAATACTGCCATTTGACTTAATCCAATATGGATTAAAAATGAAGATAAAAGTTTATGATTCATTCTGGCAAAAGGTTTAGAGTAAACACAGCAAGATTACCTTACGGCCATCAGATGCCCTCAGGATATCATTTACGATGTTCAGCAATGCAAAACCAAATTGAACCTCATGCAACAATTGGTTTTTATAAATATATTCTTTTAATTGTCCACACATAACTTTTTTCAATATTGTTTCAACTGTCAAATTAATAATAGAAATGGAAGAAAATGACGATAATCTTAGAGTTGATGATGATTCAGAATCAGAAGAGGAAGATGTATTAGAAGAAAGATCAGAAGATACCGATAATGAACAAGAACTAGAAAGTGACCATAAAGTCGAATATGATGGAGTCTTTTATATTGGTAAAGATAATGTTACAAAGTGGAATAAGCAACTAAAAGACGCAGCAAAGATGTAAATACATTATGAGAATTGGCGTAAAGCAAAAATAAACCAGTTTATAGAAAGTTGTAAGGAAAGTTTTACTAGAGATAGAAATTGGTAATCAAAAACCAATAGTATTGAATGAAAGTACTTGTATATTGCTGCTGTAAGAAAAAGCAACCACGTCAATGCTGATGATTTTATGGATTAACTGATGGAACTATCTATGGAAATATTTCGACTCATTCTGCCATTAAGCAGATTCAGTTTTCTTCTAAACCAGATTCGATTTGACGATAAAAATACCCGAAAAGAGAGAGAAAAGCTCGGAATATATCACAATCGATGACAAATTGGAAGGATTTAGAAGAAAGTGTCGATCCCGACAGTATATTCCATCAAAACCCAATAAATATGTAATAAAAAATTATGCTTTAATGGATGCGAAGTTATTTTATAAAAGTAACTAGTAATCTCGATGTATAATATTTCAGTAAATAGCCTTCTGGCGTATATGAAGTGATGATGATTGATGATGATGATATGAAAACGGTTTTTTGCATTAAAAAGAGGATACTTTAATTAATAATTAATAATATTTCCACAAGAATCCTTCAAGAAATTAATTTGATAGCGAATTTTGAAAGTTATCGATAAAAATTGCAACATCAAAAATTTTATCAAAACTTCAAATATTGTTTTCTCAAAAACTAAAAGTTATTTTTCAAAATGGGTTAGTTCATTGGAAAGAGGACACTTTTATTAATACTTTAGGAAATTTTCATACTCATATTCCAAGAAATGGATTTTATACGAATTTTTAAAACTTAATCGGTGAAAATTGCAAAATTCGAAAAAATTGTGGATCATATCAAATTTATTTCTCAACAAAAGAAAGTGATTTTTCAAAACGGCTTTTTGCATTAAAAAGAGAATACTTTAATAAAATTAATAATTGGTGATATTTCCACAAAATTTTATCAAAAATTCAAATATTGTTTTTTCAAAAACTAAAAGTTATTTTTCAAAACGGCATTTTGCTTTAAAAAGAGGATACTTTAATTAATAATCGAAAGTGAAGACAGCTTCGTAGAAAAAGCTCGGTAATTTAAGTGCGAGTTCTTTGACAAATGTTCTTCGCAAAAAGAAACAATGAACTTCTTGTGGTGGCCACTTTTTTTTTTCTTGAACGCTGGAAGAAAGCTGGTCTACAACATCTACGCCACCTTTGACGTTGTAAAATGTTATTACTTCTGATTTCTGAACCGTAAATTACTGTTCGATCGTAGCCTGATCATGAAAAGTCGAAACAAGTACAACCGATTTAAGTAACACAAATTTAATTATTTCACGACTGTGGTCATGCCTTTTGCGTGAAAAGGGTTTACACGGTAGGTATTTGCTTCAGTCGTAAATATGCTGTGCTTGGTGGCAGAAGCATGTCAAGTTTTGTGTGGTGTGATAGCAGACAGGATTTCACAAAATTTGGCAAGAAAAAGAAAGAAAAGACGATGGTGGACAAGGAAATGGATTCTACAAAGAAGTCATACTAATTTAATGAAAGACACCTCCAAGTACCCTGAAGATTTAAAAAATTTGCTTAGAATGTCGGAATACCATTTTAATTATTTATTGGAACTCGTTAACCCCAAAATTCAAAAAAATCCATGAATATGAGAGAAGCTCTATCAGCCAATTTGAAACTGCAAATAACACTTCGATATTTAGCTACTGGAGACTCTTTTAAAAGTTTAGAATATTTATTTAGAGTATCCAAATCAGTGATAAGTAAATGTATAGAAGAAGTTTTGGGTGCAGTGTGTGATGCTCTAAAAGAATTTATCAAGGTAAGTAAAAACGTTATTTAATTCCAAACTTTAAATACTTCTTTGGTACATACGATATCAACAGCATTTTGTCTTTATAACGAAATGCTGTTTGCTTGGTAGAAATTCATGAGGAATTTCTCTCCGTTTTTTTTTTAAGTACCAAGAAAGGTAAGGAAATAAATATTGAGCAATTCCAGTGCCAAGGAATACTGGTATATCAGTTATCTGTAGTAACGTTCTTATTTGAACCTTTGCTGGGTATAACAAGTCTCTTCATTACTTCACCAGGAGAATTGCTCTTTGCATTTGTACCACGTGGTTGAGCTCCAGTGTAAATTTCAAGCATTGTTCAACGAATATATCGAATTTAGACGATCTGCATAAGCGAACAGTTCAATACCAGAGCTACACGTCGAGAAAACTAAGACGGGAAGCTCTCAACATTCCACTCGTTATTAAAATACCAATAAATGCTATTACTTCAGATACAGTGGTATTCTGCGCATCTCGCTTTCTGGTGAAGTTTTCTCTTATTAGATCTATGTATACATTCGTTTCTTCAATACAAGAATTTCACGTGTCATACAGCAATTAAATGAGGAGAGCGAAGTTGTTGCTTATTTTGCATTGCCTTTAGGGCCAAGAAGATGGGATGTATTTCTTGCTCTTGTTCTTCTTGGAGTTGGAAACACTTTTTTCCACTTGAAGGTTTTATCTTTTCCCACAAAATAACTGTTTCTTCATCTTTGCTTGATTCAGAGTTAGGATTAACCTCCATGGAGTTAGGACTCTTGTAATCTTCTCTAATCTTCTGATGGAGTGGCTAAATTACCTTTTCCATACCTTTGAGGAAAAAAAAAACTTCAAGGTTAATAAAGAATATTGAAATAAAATAATTCTTTTTATTCCTTTTTTTGTTATAATATATACATAGAATATACTTTTTATATTTATAAATATAAATATATCACTTAAAAATAAATCAGATTCGATTAAAAAAAAACATTCTAAAAAAGACTAGAACTTAGAATAATTACAGAAACAATTAATCCTATTTTTAAAACGTTAAAAGTATTTTTCTTGTACATTTTAAGTAAATGTTTCGCTTACTTTAAATTGGGTTAATTGGGAATTAGGAATAAAACGTCAATACGGATTGTTGGTTGCCCCTAACGAATAAGTATGGAGGTAAATCTTTTGTGAGGGCTTCCAACCACGCCATGTATAAAGGGGCTGAAACTGTTCCTCTTCTAGGCATTGGTAATGACCTATTTAAACAAAAATTTTATTAACATTATTTTTTTTTAATAAAAACTTACATAACAACTAAATTTGCATCACTCGAATTCTCCAATAATAACTCTCTTAATCGTAATTGCCGATTCGTTTTTTCTTGCGCAGCTAAAATTTCAGATTCGGTAACTTTGCAATCGTGCTCTTTAATTTCAGCGGAAGTTTTAAAATTTTCTAATAAATCGTCGAAAAATTTCACAGTGATTTCGCTAGGTTTATCAGAAAGATTAACCATCTTTAAACTCGAATATTCCAAGCGAAATTTCGCCAATAAATTTGCCATACTAAAATTAAAACATTAATTTTTGGTTAATTAATATTATTTTTGCATTTTACTTCTTTTCTTCGACTTCCAATTCGACTTTGCTGTTTGCTAAAGCGAAAACGCGCAATTTGCATTGGGACCAATGTGATCTTGTTGAAATAATGTATGGTAATAACATTGTTAAACCTCCGTCGTCGTATAACCACCAAACATCAATCGTTCCTTTATCTTGTTTTTTCTTAAAAATCGACATTTTATTTAAAACTGAACGGTGAAGCTCTTGACCCGATTGGCTTCGATATAAGATTTTTTCAGCAACCCCATTCTTTTTTTGTTTCATATTTTTGGTTATTGAGTACGTTTTAGACGATGCTAAAAGAAAATTTTTGTTAAAATGTTGGATTAAATCGCTATGTTAAGTTTTACTTAAACTGGGTAAAGAAACTATTGTGTTATTCGTTTCTGGGGTTGATGAATCGATGTGGGAGATGTTTAAATTTGAATCGCAATGCATTAATTGCCTTTCATGGGGGACTCTTTCTTGTTTTGTTGTGTTATTTAAAGATGTATCCATTGAATTCGCGCAAGCTTCGTCTTCTTCCATTATTTTGCTGTAATCTAAACCATCCGCTAGTTTTAGTATCACCACGGATAATCGATTATCAAAAGCAGCACTGAAAATAATTGTATGTTATTATATGAGCATTATATGGCTCATTATATTATATGAATGAATTTTTAAATAAAATTTAAACGTCAAAATGACAGGAATTCAATGTTACCAACTGTAACTAATTTCAGAACAATTTGTCAAAATTAAATATAAATTTTATGAAACGTTTTTTTTTACGAAAATTAATGCTTAAATCATACGAAAAAATGAATTTGTTTAAGATTTTTTAATGTCAAACTTTTAGAAAGTCCTAAAAAAATTAAATTAAATTGACGTTTTTTGAAATTTTGACGTTTCAAATAATTATTAGTTTGTCAAGTTGATTTTACTCGTGAATAATGATTATTCACTCTGTAAAAATGATTACTCTTGAAAACTAATTTATTTAAATAAATTTTTGAATAAAGTTTTAATGTGACACAAATTCAATGTCACCAATTGTAACCAACTTCACAACAATTGGTTAAAATTAAATGTCAATTTTATGAAACGTCATATTTTTTTACGAAAATTAATTTATGCTTAAATCATACGAAAAAAGGAGTTTGTTAAACGAGACTTTAATACAATATGTTAATATAAATGGCTTACAAGGCGATTCAGTAACTAAAACAATATTGTATGGAGCAGAAAATCTTAAGGAATTCCGGAAGAAACTGGACACGTTTCAACTATTAGAAATAATCAACGCCAAGTGAAGCCGGCAACCACCTCAAGTCCATTTCTATGGAAGAAAAGTGAAGCTAAAGAAGACATCAAGAAAGAAGTAGGTACTAAAGTGAGATGTTTTAACTGTAATCGTTCAGGTCATTACGCGAGTGAGTGTAAAAGGATCGTACTTTGCTTGTGGATCGAAGGATCACCAGAAGAAGGACTGTCCCAAACAAATACAACCAGAGTCCCAACCGAAAGAATTACGGTTCACCAATTTGGTTCAAGAAAAATTAGATTTATACTAGTTCAAATCAGTTTGAAGATGTGAACAAAAGTAAGCTAATTATTTTAGGGTTAAAAAGACTGAAAGTTCAAGTTCAGGATTGTAGCATGTAACAACAATGAACAGTTTAGCTTTATTAGGTAGAGATTTTATTGCACTTGATAAGTTAGAGTTTATATTTGATAAAACCAATGTTAAAGTAAAGTCTAGAGAAGACATATAGAATGAAAGTAACTTTGAAAATGATATATTGAAAATTGATGTTGGTGATAATGATAATGCCTGCAAGGATTTCAATGTAAATGTAAATCCAGAGATTTCTTTTGAAAATCAGGATAAGCTAACAAATGTGATAAGTAACTATTATGACAGAGAAAGACCCAAATACCATTTGAAATGAAGATTACTTTAAAACCTGATCATACTAGACATATGTCCTAGTATGAAAATAATTAAGTCACTAAGATCATTGAGAAATTGCTTAAGGAGGGAATTATCAGGAAAAGCATTTCTTGTCCAATTGTTCTTGTTCATAAAAAACCTGAAGGACTTCGATTATGTGTAGATAATTTTCCACTTCCTTTGATTGATGATGAGTTGGATAGACTTAAGAACAAATAACATCGAACTACCAGCGGCATCCTATTCAGCAGTAATTACTACTGTTGACCTCGAAATTACAGACAGTGAAATAAGCGAACTGCTAACTTCATAACAAATTAATCATAGATTGTGCAAGAGAATTATATCCAAAATAACTCAAAGTCCAACCTATAAAATGAGAATAATTACCGGATGTGAATCGTCATATCAAAGAATACTAAAAGAAGGATTGTTCTATAAAAACAAGCACTTTCCAGTCGTTGAAAGTTTGGCTCCTGCTCCAATCCCAGTTGCATACTCTAAATGTAACTCCTTTCTGGCAATTGTAAGTAACCAATAAAATGTAGCAAATGTGAAGGCACGCATAACACCGCATTATGCACATCAACATTGCGAGACTCCTGCGGTCAGGAAGGCCACAGTGCGTGGTCTCTTAAATGTAAAAATAGGCCAAAAGTCCTAATCGCTGGAATTCCAAACGTAAAAATTAAAAGCTCAAATAAGAAAAGTTCAGACATCGATCCCGTGGTATTCATGATCATATAGTGGAAACCTATAATAATAAAATCAACTAATCAACTAATTAAGACGAAAATTTATGGAAGCATACAATGTCGATACAATTCTTTCATTCTCGGGAAGCTACTTGTACAATATTATACTTGATTTGGAGAACCCTGCCGCAATTTCACCAACGGAACCTTCCAATGGATAATATCAGATTCCTATACTCCAACATCAATAGCTACCATCGGAAAGCTTATTTAATAGGTAACTATTTGAATACTCATCCTATACAGCGTGCTTTATTTGTAGAAACAAAATCCAAAGAACATATCAAATTTCAAAACTGGTCTGTAGAGGAAAAAATATCTGAAATCGGCAATGTTAATATCCTCTGAGGAGTCTCTGTAGCGCTAATTCACCCATCTCTAGCAGTCAAACATGAAAATAGCCCAAGAACACTATAAACACACTTTTCATTACCATTTGGGAAAGATAAACTACACATTTTCCTGGTATATATTCACCCACATAATGGAATAGATGATACTATATTTATAAAAGCTTCACTATACGATAACGCCATAATAATCGGCGATTTTAATCAGACTGTATACAAGAAAATAACTACACCACCTACATTTAACATGCAGGCCAATTCCAACACCACGCCTGATTTAGTAATAGGCTCACCAAGCATATATCCTCTCATCCATGCTGTAGAATTAATAACAGATCTTGGTTCAGACCACCTCAGCATAGATTTTCAACTAAACACCCCACCATACTCCCGAATAGTAGACATTCCACTACACATTAATATTAATTTATGCAATAAAAACCTAAACAATGACATGACAAATTACATCCATAACAATCCTGCTATTAACCCAGAGAACATATCATCGTTTATTAAACACCTAACGAAATCACTAGTATAGTTCGTTTTTTTTCTATAATACTTGTCAATGTAAATTATTTAGGGTTTCTGTTGGTATTATCTAAGACCCTTATAAAATTTATGTTGTTTTCCTGATTTTTAGTAACATTTTCAGTAACTAAATAGTTGAGGTTAAAATACTAATAAATTTTTAGATAAATACGATTTTAACGAAGAACATATTTGTTGTAAAAACGTGCTACAAAGTAATTAATAGAATAAAATACCTTTTCTAGGTAAATAAATGGCAAATAAACACCCCACAACACTTTTTATTCACCTTTTCTTTTTGAATAACGAAAGCTCAAACGTCAATGTGACATATTTACTTCAAAACATGATAAAACAAAACTCCCTGTTGATTTTGCCAACTTTACAACAATTTGACAGGTATTATAGAAAAAAAATGAACTATATATCATTCCTCAAAAAGGAAAAAGTCCTATTACTCCTTCCCACTCCCTCCTTATATCCTAACGTTAATTAAAAGTAAAAGATGCATGTACCGAGAGTTCAGAAGAAATGAAAATGTTGACACCAAGAAGAGAATTAATGAGCTTAGTAAAAGAATTCACAAGTTAATATGGCAATTTAGATCTTCCAGATTTATTGAAGCTTGTAATAATATTAACCAAAGTAAGGGAAAATCTTTCTGGAATGAAGTCAAAAAACTTCATTAAAACTTTAGAAAGTCCTAAAAAATTAAATTAAATTGACGTTTTTTGAAATTTTGACGTTTCAAATAATTATTAGTCTGTCAAGTTGATTTTACCCGTGAATAATGATTATTCGTCACTATTATTCACTCTATGAAAAATGACTACCCTTTAAACTCATTTTTTTAAATAAATTTTTGTGTAAAGTTTAAACGTCATTGTGACAGAAATACAATATTACCAACTGTAACCAACTTCACAACAATTTGTCAAAATTAAATGTCAATTTTATGAAACGTCGTTTTTTTTTTAAGAAAATTAAATAATTTATGCTTAAATCATACGAAAAAAGGAATTTGTTTACGTTTTTTAATACCAAACGTTTATAAAGTCCTAAAAAAATTAAATTAAATTGACGTTTTTTTGAAATTTTGACGTTTCAAATAATTATTAGTCTGTCAAGTTGATTACCCATGAATAATGATTATTCACTCTGTGTTTAATTTAATTAATAAAAAACAACTTACTGTAAAACATTAAAATAACTCGTTAATTCCTGAGTATTACAACTTTTCCAGTCATTTTTATACCCCATCATTAAAACATTAGGGCTTAATCTTCCAATTCCACTACCTTGCAATAAAACTCTCGCCCCCGTTTCAAAATCAACGCCATCCACAACGGTATAAAACGCTTTAATTTTATGGGCGTTCAACCAAGAGTAGGCATTTTTACGACGAGTTGTGCGAACTTTATGCGTTAATTTTTTCTAAAAATTGTTAAAAAAATTGTTATTAATTAACTCACAAAGAAATAAAATTAAAAAAATTACCTCGACGACATCCCCAACGATCAACAAAGAATTATTTTTGGTTATATAATTAGCAAAATCTAAAAGAGCCGGTCGAGATTGCGTTGAACCACATAAAACTAAAATTTGCGGTTCGTAATTTTTAACATGCTCGCCGATGTTAATTAGTCTTAATGCTGTAGTTAGAGCTGTTTTGTATGTTTGCGCTTGAGTTGATGAACCCCAGTTAACGTCTAATGTAAAATTAAAATAATTAATACAAAATTTAGTTATTTAATGAGTTAAACTCACCTGGTTTTCGATAAACAACGATCAAATAAAGTCCTAATATTACTATAAATGTTATTAAGGATGATTGCCAGTTAATTAAGAACATTATAACAACGCACATTATGAATCCGGCTAAACTTAACCAAGTGTTGTAATACTGAAATATAAAAAAAATGTAAGTATAAAGGCTTATAAAAATATAAGTAGCATGTTATAAAAAGACGTTTGGAACTCTTGCATTTTTGCTCAGGGAACAGTCTTAGCCTCTTTTTGTTTAATTTCCTGATGGATAAAATCATAGAGGAAGTAACATCTTTAAATGTAGGGTATGTGATGGGCATCAAGAGAGTTACTATGGTGTGCTACGGGGATGACGCAGCAATAGTCGCAGGAACAGAAGACACACAAGTTTAATATGGCTATCTCCGTTGATAAAACCAAGTCCATGACTACTGCAAAAGATCCGATCAGATGTAAACTCGTTCTCGATGATGAGTCAATATCCGCAATATCAGGATGCTTAAGAGACAAAATCTGGTCGAACCCGTATATGCGAATAGACAGCAAAATTCGGATATACAAGACGTGTATAAGACTGATAATGACATATGGAATAGAAGTGAGGGCAGAAACAAATAAAACCATGAGCATACTACGACGGGCCAAGATGAAGACACTAAGATCAGTTGCAGAAAAAACGAGAATGGACAGAGTGAGAAATACGGATATTAGAGATTCTAGACAACGTTCTAGACATAGTGAGATAGACTTCTGAAAATTGTGCTTCTAAATAATCCCCCCCGGTTCAAAACCATCTGGGAGACCCCCAAAGAGAAGGCGTGACAGCTAACAATCGACACCTCAGGAAATGGTTTAAAGACCATTTCGACCTCAGAATTAACAGATCGACAGATCTCTAATGAGAAGAAGAAATAGAAGCACTTTTACTCGTAGATGCATAGATATCAAGAAAATTACAAAAATATGATGAATTTGGTTGTTTTAGAAGTTGTTGATGATAACACACGGAAAACGGACCATATTACAAAGAAACTTTTGAAACAACAGTTATTGCAAATTTTATTGTTAACAATATCACTCTCTTGCACTTTTACTCTCAAATGCGTCAATATCGAGAAAAATACAAAAATATGAAAATTGGACAAATTTATTGCTGTTTCAAGTTATTAATGGTAACTTGGGAAATGGAGCTTGTTATAAAAAAACTTTTAGTACAAAAGTTGTAGCAAATTTTAGACATAACAATATTACTCTCTTGCACTTTTGCTCTCAGATGCGTCAATAGCAAGAAAGATACGAAAATATAAAAATTGCATGAATTTCTTGCTTTTTCAAGTTGTTAATGATAACACTTGGGAAACAGTGCATATTAAAAAAAATTCGTGGAATGAAAGTTGTAGTTAATTTTATTCTTAGCAATATTGCTCTCTTTCATCTTTGCTCTCAGACGCGTCAATATTGAGAAAAATTGGAAAATGTAAAAATTTGATAAATTTGTTGCTGTGTCAAGTTAATGGTAACACTTGAGAAAGAGAGCTTGTTATAAAAAAACTTTTAGTACAAAAGTTGTAGCAAATTTTATATCTAACAATATTGCTCTCTTGCACTTTTGTTTTCAGATGCGTCAATATCGAGAAAAACGCGAAAATGTAAAAATTTGATGAATTTGTTGCTCTTTCAAGTTAATGGTAACACTTGAGAAAGAGAGCTTGTTATAAAAAAACTTTTAGTACAAAAGTTGTAGCAAATTTTATATCTAACAATATTGCTCTCTTGCACTTTTGTTTTCAGATGCGTCAATATCGAGAAAAACGCGAAAATGTAAAAATTTGATGAATTTGTTGCTCTTTCAAGTTAATGGTAACACTTGAGAAAGAGAGCTTGTTATAAAAAAACTTTTAGTACAAAAGTTGTAGCAAATTTTATATCTAACAATATTGCTCTCTTGCACTTTTGTTTTCAGATGCGTCAATATCGAGAAAAACGCGAAAATGTAAAAATTTGATGAATTTGTTGCTCTTTCAAGTTAATGGTAACACTTGAGAAAGAGAGCTTGTTATAAAAAAACTTTTAGTACAAAAATTGTAGCAAATTTTATTCCTAACAATATTGCTCTCTTGCACTTTTGCTCTCAGATGCGTCAATAGCAAGAAAGATACGAAAACACAAAAATTGGATGAATTTGTTGCTGTTTCAAGTTGTTAATGGTAACTAGGGATTGCAATCCCGGGATTTCAATCCCGAGAATCCCGGGATCCCGTACATATTTAAATCTCGAAAATTATCCCTGGAAATCGATTATGATTTCGGGATTATGTTTGTCTTTAATTTACTATTTTTTGAAGAATAAGACTCGATTTATCGGTTGACTTCTTGGTCTATTGATCCATCGGTTAACTTTATTCTGCTAAACAAACAACAGCCAGCTGTCCAGTTAACCAAGAATGCACTCTTCAATACATTGATTCAAAAAATTCATGTATTCAATAATGGCGGTAGCATAGGCAACAATCTTTAATTCGCTTTTGAATGTTTGAAAACTATTCCAACAACTATGGAATCGGGACGGTGCTTCTCTTCAGCAGGTTTATTAAACACAAAATTTAGATATCGTTTAGGAGATAAAACAATAGATAAATTATTTGTTCTTAATTCTTTAAGAATAGTTCTATGGATGGTAGATTTTTGTATAATGTCTTGTATTACTGTTAGAATAAACTGTAACGTTAGAAACACTTTGAACACTTTTTATTTATAATTACATATGTAGCCCATAAAACCCGGGATAGAGAATTCTGATCCCGAAATCCCGGGATTATAAAAACCCTTATTGATTGCAATTCCTAATGGCAACACTTGCGGAACAGTGCATATTGCAAAAAAACTTTTAGAACAAAAGTTGTAGGAAATTTGATACCTAACAATATTGCTCTCTTGCACTTTTGCTCTCAGATGCGTCAATAGCATGAAAGATACGAACATATGGAAATTAGATGAATTTGTTGCTTTTCCAAGTTGTTAATGGCAAAACTTGGGAAACAGTGCATATTGCAAAAAAACTTGTGGAACGAAAGTTGTAGCTAATTTTATTCTGAGCAGTATTGCTCTCTTGTATTTTTGCTCTCAGATGCGTCAATAGCAGGAAAGATACGACAATATGAAAATTTGATGAATTTATTGCATTTTCTAGTTGTTAATGGTAGTACTTGAGAAGGAGAGCTTGTTATAAAAAAACTTTTAGAAGAAAAGTTGTAGCAAATTTTATATCTAGCAATATTGCTCTCTTGCACTTTTGCTCTCAGATGCGTCAATAGCAAGAAAGATACGAAAATATGAAAATTGGATAAATTTGTTGCTTTTTCAAGTTGTTAATGGTAACACTTGGGAAACAGTGCATATTGCAACAAAACTTGTGGAACGAAAGTTGTAGCTAATTTTATTCTTAGCAGTATTGCTCTCTTTCATCTTTGCTCTCAGACCCGTCGATATCGAAAAAAATACGAAAATGTAAAAATTTGATGAATTTGTTGCTGTTTCCAGTTAATGGTAATACTTGAGAAACAGAACTTGTTATAAAAAAACTTTTAGTACAAAAGTTGTAGCAAATTTTATTCCTAACAATATTGCTCTCTTGTACTTTTGCTTTCAGATGCGTCAATATCGAGAAAAATACGAAAATGTAAAAATTTGATGAATTTGTTGCTTTTTCAAGTTAATGGTAACACTTGGGAAATGGAGCTTGTTATAAAAAGCTTTTAGAACAAAAGTAGCAAATTTTATTCCTAACAATATTGCTCTCTTGTACTTTTGCTTTCAGATGCGTCAATATTGAGAAAAATTGGAAAATGTAAAAATTTTATGACTTTGTTGCTGTTTCAAGTAAATGGTAACACTTGGGAAATGGAGCTTGCTATAAAAAAACTTTTAGAACAAAAGTTGTACCAAACTTTATATCTAACAATATTGCTCTTTTGCACTCTTGCTCTCAGATGCGTCAATAGCAAGAAAGATACGAAAATATGAAAATTTTGTTGATTTTTCAAGTTGTTAATGGCAACACTTGGGGAACAGTACATATTGCAAAAAAACTTATGGAACGAAAGTTGTAGCAAATTTTATTCCTAACAATATTGCTCTCTTGTACTTTTGCTTTCAGACGCGTCAATATCGAGAAAAATACGAAAATGCAAAAATTCGATGAATTTGTTGCTGTTTCAAGTTAATGGTAACACTTGAGAAAGAGAACTTGTTATAAAAAAACTTTTAGAACAAAAGTTGTAGCAAATTTTATACCTAACAATATTGCTCTCTTGCAGTTTTGCTCTCAGATGCGTCAATATCGAGAAAGATACAAAATATGAAAATTGGATAAATTCGTTGCTTTTTCAAGTATTTAATGGTAACACCTAGGATTCAGAGCAAATTACAAAATAACTTTTAGAGTAAAAGTTGTAGCAAATTTTATTCCTAACAATATTGCTCTTTTTCACTTTTGCTCGCAAATGCGTCAATATCGAAAACAATACGAAAATTGACGAAAATATAAAAATTAGATGAAATTATTGCCTCTTCAGGTTGTTATGGCAATGTTACTGTGAAACACTGAAATTAGTGAATATCAGTATTCTCCGGTCAGTGTCAACCATAGATTAGAAGATATAATATATTGTTATACAGGATGCCCATTATGTATGGAATATAGCATATATCTTGGTAAGTATCAACTTTATAAAAAAACATTTTATACAAAAGTTGTTTAATATTTTATTTGGCATAATAAGACTGCATTCAATTGTTTTTAATTCAGAAAACAAATGAGTAACGAATAATACTTACATTTTTTTAAATGGCAATGTATTCTTTCGTTAGGCTCATTTGATAAAGATTACTTTTCTCTTTACGATGGCGTAAAATTTTTGTACCCTTACGTTAGAAAATTTTGGAAAAAAATGTTAAAATTTATTGTTTATTAATAAAAATAAATCAATAACATTAATCTAGATACCCGAGATCTCAAATTATTACCGTAAATTAAATTTACGTGCAAAATAAAACAAATAAACGAAAAATTAGTGTACATCTCCAATAATTCGAGGTACTTCGAGGTATTTGACGATCTCGGATATCTAGATTAATGTTATTGGTTAAATTTTCTTAATAAACAATTTTTACATTTTATGCAAAAATTTTCTGATGTAAGGGTACAAAAATTTTACGTCATCATAAAGAGAAAAGAAATCTATCAAATGAGCCTAACGAAAGGGTACATTGCCATTTAAAAAACTTCAAGTGTTATTCATTGCTCATTTGTTTTCTGAAATAAAAACAATTGAATCTGTCTTATTATGGCAAATAAAATATTAAACAACTTTTGTATAAAATGTTTTTTTATAAAGTTGATACCTATCAAGATATACAGGGTGAGTCAATAGTGCGGGGACGGAAGATAGTGGCTATACTATTGAAAATAAAAGAAATGTTTTTATGCCATCATATATTACCATCAAAGCTGTATCGATTAAAATTATTTTCAGCTATACAGGGTGTTTCACTATTCCAGGACCATANATTGCTCTCTTGCACTTTTGCTCTCAGATGCGTCAATAACAAGAAAGATACGAAAATATGAAAATTGGATAAATTTGTTGCTTTTTCAAGTTGTTAATGGTAACACTTGGGAAACAGTGCATATTGCAACAAAACTTGTGGAACGAAAGTTGTAGCTAATTTTATTCTTAGCAGTATTGCTCTCTTTCATCTTTGCTCTCAGACCCGTCGATATCGAAAAAAATATGAAAATGTAAAAATTTGATGAATTTGTTGCTGTTTCCAGTTAATGGTAATACTTGAGAAACAGAACTTGTTATAAAAAAACTTTTAGAAGAAAAGTTGTAGCAAATTTTATATCTAGCAATATTGCTCTCTTGCACTTTTGCTCTCAGATGCGTCAATAACAAGAAAGATACGAAAATATGAAAATTGGATAAATTTGTTGCTTTTTCAAGTTGTTAATGGTAACACTTGGGAAACAGTGCATATTGCAACAAAACTTGTGGAACGAAAGTTGTAGCTAATTTTATTCTTAGCAGTATTGCTCTCTTTCATCTTTGCTCTCAGACCCGTCGATATCGAAAAAAATACGAAAATGTAAAAATTTGATGAATTTGTTGCTGTTTCCAGTTAATGGTAATACTTGAGAAACAGAACTTGTTATAAAAAAACTTTTAGAAGAAAAGTTGTAGCAAATTTTATATCTAGCAATATTGCTCTCTTGCACTTTTGCTCTCAGATGCGTCAATAACAAGAAAGATACGAAAATATGAAAATTGGATAAATTTGTTGCTTTTTCAAGTTGTTAATGGTAACACTTGGGAAACAGTGCATATTGCAACAAAACTTGTGGAACGAAAGTTGTAGCTAATTTTATTCTTAGCAGTATTGCTCTCTTTCATCTTTGCTCTCAGACCCGTCGATATCGAAAAAAATACGAAAATGTAAAAATTTGATGAATTTGTTGCTGTTTCCAGTTAATGGTAATACTTGAGAAACAGAACTTGTTATAAAAAAACTTTTAGAAGAAAAGTTGTAGCAAATTTTATATCTAGCAATATTGCTCTCTTGCACTTTTGCTCTCAGATGCGTCAATAACAAGAAAGATACGAAAATATGAAAATTGGATAAATTTGTTGCTTTTTCAAGTTGTTAATGGTAACACTTGGGAAACAGTGCATATTGCAACAAAACTTGTGGAACGAAAGTTGTAGCTAATTTTATTCTTAGCAGTATTGCTCTCTTTCATCTTTGCTCTCAGACCCGTCGATATCGAAAAAAATACGAAAATGTAAAAATTTGATGAATTTGTTGCTGTTTCCAGTTAATGGTAATACTTGAGAAACAGAACTTGTTATAAAAAAACTTTTAGAAGAAAAGTTGTAGCAAATTTTATATCTAGCAATATTGCTCTCTTGCACTTTTGCTCTCAGATGCGTCAATAACAAGAAAGATACGAAAATATGAAAATTGGATAAATTTGTTGCTTTTTCAAGTTGTTAATGGTAACACTTGGGAAACAGTGCATATTGCAACAAAACTTGTGGAACGAAAGTTGTAGCTAATTTTATTCTTAGCAGTATTGCTCTCTTTCATCTTTGCTCTCAGACCCGTCGATATCGAAAAAAATACGAAAATGTAAAAATTTGATGAATTTGTTGCTGTTTCCAGTTAATGGTAATACTTGAGAAACAGAACTTGTTATAAAAAAACTTTTAGAAGAAAAGTTGTAGCAAATTTTATATCTAGCAATATTGCTCTCTTGCACTTTTGCTCTCAGATGCGTCAATAACAAGAAAGATACGAAAATATGAAAATTGGATAAATTTGTTGCTTTTTCAAGTTGTTAATGGTAACACTTGGGAAACAGTGCATATTGCAACAAAACTTGTGGAACGAAAGTTGTAGCTAATTTTATTCTTAGCAGTATTGCTCTCTTTCATCTTTGCTCTCAGACCCGTCGATATCGAAAAAAATACGAAAATGTAAAAATTTGATGAATTTGTTGCTCTTTCAAGTTAATGGTAACACTTGAGAAAGAGAGCTTGTTATAAAAAAACTTTTAGTACAAAAGTTGTAGCAAATTTTATTCCTAACAATATTGCTCTCTTGCACTTTTGCTCTCAGATGCGTCAATAGCAAGAAAGATACGACAATATGAAAATTTGATGAATTTGTTGCTCTTTCCTGTTGTTAATAGTAGCACTTGGGAAACAGTGCATATTGCAAAAAAACTTGTGGAACGAAAGTGGTAGTTAATTTTATTCTTAGCAATGTTGCTCTCTTTCATCTTTGCTCTCAGACCCGTCAATATTAAGAAAAATTGGAAGATGTAAAAATTTGATGAAATTATTGCGTTTTCAGGTTGTTATGACAATGTTACTGTGAAATACTGAAATTAGTGAATGTCAATATTCTCCGGTCAGTGTCAACCATGGATTAGATATAATATATTATATTGTTATATAGATAGATCACTATAAACGTTTGGTTGGAATGCGCAGTTAGTTTTGGATACTGTCTACAGCGCTGAAATCATTGGCAGGCGGGAAATATAAATTAAATTTGTTATTTGAAAGTTTTATCGATGTTTTTTTACGAAAACATTGCTTGGCGACAAAACTTTACAAAATTTTAAACATTAAATTTTGTCGTTTACAATGTTTTACAAAAAAAACATCAAAAAGCATGATTAAAAAGTCTTTAAATGAATAACAAAGACTTTATTCTTTAATTTTTTTAATATTATTTATACCACATCGTATCCTTTTAATTTTATTGCATTTATCCAATGCTGCTTCCGCATGACTGATTATAACATCAATCGAAGTACTTATTATAAAGCAATAACAACTCTTCCTCTGTACACAATAGAACGCAATCAAAAATATTACTATATCAAATCTGGTCAAACCAGTCAAACTGATAAACCAGTATAACGAAAATCAACAGTTACCATTTAACATCTTTTTCTTTGACGAGGCAACTTTTATGTTAAACGGCACAGTAAATCGTCATAACAGCCGATATTGGAGTGACATCAATCCATATTGGATTCAAGAAGACCATACTCAATATCCACAAAAAATAAATGTTTCTTCGTAAAGACAACATTAAATGCAGAAAAATATTTAAATCTACTGCAAAATGAAGTGTCGCGATTGAAGCTTTGTTCCCAGAGGATAATGGTTGGGAAACGGAGCTTTTGTAAAGAAAGTTGCAGCAAATTTAATTCCTAACAACATTGCTCTCTTTCACTTTTGCTCTGAGATGCGTCAATATCGCAAAAAATACGAAAATTTAAAAATCGGATGAATTTGTAATAAATAACTTTTAAAAGTTTAATCTTAAAAAATACTTACTCTAAATGTTGGTCTCCAACCTAAAGGTTTAATTAAAGCTGCGTGAAAAGTACAAAAATTGATTAAAGCATAAGATGCAAGATAAAAGTTGGAGATTAAAGGAGCAATTGCGTTGATTTCCGCTAAAAACAAAAAAAAAATTAAATTAAAATAATTAATTAAGATTTTATTAATTATTTTACCTATTAATACGAAAGAGGCTGATATAAAAAAAGTTAAAATGTAACCACGATAAGGTTCCCCAGCTTTTCCATATCCTTTTGAGAAAAAAATTAATCCCGGATAAATCCGATCGATTCCTAAAGCTTGGATTAATCTTGGAACCGATATTAAGTTGGTTAAAGCTGTGCTTAAAGTAGCCGCGAAACATCCCGCGTAAATAAACGGACCCCAAGATGACATTAATTGCATCACCTAAAAAAAATTTACACCCTTATATTTATTTTTTTTAACTCCCACACGTGTCGATTCATCGTGACACTCGAGGCGCCCCATCAATTTCACGATATCAATTTATACGAATTCTATTTTCGTTCCAAGAAGGAAATCAATAGAAATGAACGCGAGAATTTTCTTATTTACCAACTTACCGAATAACTGTTGAATAACCCATATTTACAACTCGAATCGTCAACGCACGAAGTTAACGTGCCGTTAATTAGATCTGAGATGTTTCCGCTTGCATCTCTCATCGCGGCTCCCCCGGCGAAAATTACAAAGATTAAATAGGAAGCCATCGAGATTAATAAGGAGAGAAGAGTTCCTTTTGGTATTGAACTGGCGGGATCCTAAAACACGTTCTACACTTAAATTTTTTCTCGGTTATTGGGAAATGATGAAGAAAAAGTACTTTTAAGTCACCGGAGATGTTCGCCCCTGCTTGAATTCCGGTTACTGAGGGGAAGAAAATCGCAAAAACTTGGAAGAAATCGTACGGAATTCCGTCTTGTTTTCGGTAATCGCTTGGGAAATTTGTTGAGAATAATTCCACTAAAAAGAAAAACTAATATAATAAAACCTCGATGTAATGGACTAATGACTTTTAATGTTAGTGTTAGTTCTAGTTTTAGGGGTTATTCTCAACAATATTGCTCTTTTTCACTTTTGCTCTTGAAAATATAAAAATTGCATAAATTTGTTGCTTTTTCAAGTTGTTAATGGTAACACTTGGGAAAGAGAGCTTGCTATAAAAAAACTTTTAGAACACAAGTTGTAGTTAATTTTATTCTTAGCAATATTGCTCTCTTTCATCTTTGCTCTCAGACGCGTCAATATTGAGAAAAATACGAAAATGTAAAAATTTTATGAATTTGTTGCTCTTTTAAGTTAATGGTAATACTTGAGAAAGAGAGCTTGTTATAAAAAAACTTTTAGTACAAAAGTAGTAGCAAATTTTCCTAACAATATTGCTCTCTTGTACTTTTGCTTTCAGATGCGTCAATATCGAGGAATATACGAAAATGTAAAAATTTGATGAATTTGTTGCTGAGTCAAGTTAATGGTAACATTTGAGAAAGAGAGCTTGGTATAAAAAAACTTTTAGTACAAAAGTTGTAGCAAATTTTATTCCTAACAATATTGCTCTCTTGTGCTTTTGCTTTCAGATGCGTCAATATCGAGAAAAATACGAAAATGTAAAAATTTGATAAATTTGTTGCTGAGTCAAGTTAATGGTAACACTTGAGAAAGAGAGCTTGTTATAAAAAAACTTTTAGTACAAAAGTTGTAGCAAATTTTATTCCTAACAATATTGCTCTCTTGTACTTTTGCTATCAGATGCGTCAATATCGAGGAAAATACGAAAATGTAAAAATTTGATAAATTTGTTGCTGAGTCAAGTTAATGGTAGACTTGAGAAAGAGAGCTTGTTACAAAAAAACTTTTAGTACAAAAGTTGTAGCTAATTTTATTCCTAACAATATTGCTCTCTTGCACTTTTGCTCTCAGATGCGTCAATATGGAGAAAAATATGAAATTGTAAAAATTTGATGAATTTGTTGTTTTTTCAAGTTAATGGTAACACTTGCGAAAGAGAGCTTGCTATAAAAAAACTTTTAGAACAAAAGTTGTAGCAAATTTTACTGCTAACAATATTGCTTTCTTGCACTTTTGCTCTCAGATGCGTCAATAGCAAGAAAGATACGAAAATATGAAAATTAGATGAATTTGCTACTATTTCAAGTTGTTAATGGTAACACTTGGGAAACAGTGCATATTACAAAAAAAGTTGTGGAACGAAAGATGTAGCTAATTTTATTCTTAGCAATATTGCTCTCTTTCATCTTTGCTCTCAGACGCGTCAATATTGAGAAAAATTGGAAAATGTAAAAATTTGATGAAATTGTTGCTAAGTTAATGGTAACACTTGCGAAAGAGAGCTTGCTATAAAAAAACTTTTAGAACAAAAGTTGTTGCAAATTTTATTCCTAACAATATTGTTCTCTTGCACTTTTGCTCTCAGATGCATCAATAGCAAGAAAGATACGAAAATATGAAAATTGGATGAATTTGTTGTTTTTTCAAGTGGTTAATGGTAACACTTGGGAAACAGTGCATATTGCAAAAAAAGTTGTGGAACGAAAGTTGTAGTTAATTTTATTCTTAGTAATATTGCTCTCTTTCATCTTTGCGCTCAGACGCGTCAATATTGACAAAAATTGAAAAAATGTAAAAAATTTGATGAATTTGTTGCTGAGTCAAGTTAATGGTAACACTTGAGAAAGAGAGCTTGTTATAAAAAAACTTTTAGTACAAAAGTTATAGCAAATTTTATTCTTAACAATATTGCTCTCTTACATTTTTGCTTGAAAATGCGTCAATATCGAGAAAAATACAAAAATGGAAAAATTTGATGAATTTGTTGCTCTTTCAGGTTAATAGTAACATTTGAGAAAGAGAGCTTGTTGTAAAAAAAAACTTTTGGTACAAAAGTTGTAGCAAATTTTATTCCTAACAATATTGCTCTCTTGTACTTTTGCTTTCAGATGCGTCAATATCAAGAGAAATACGAAAATGTAAAGATTTGATGAATTTGTTGCTCTTTCAAGTTAATGGTAACACTTGAGAAAGAGAGCTTGTTATAAAAAAACTTTTAGTACAAAAGTTGTAGCAAATTTTATTCCTAACAATATTGCTCTCTTGTGCTTTTGCTTTCAGATGCGTCAATATCGAGAAAAATACGAAAATGTAAAAATTTGATAAATTTGTTGCTGAGTCAAGTTAATGGTAACACTTGAGAAAGAGAGCTTGTTATAAAAAAAACTTTTAGTACAAAAGATGTAGCAAATTTTATTCCCAACAATATTGCTCTCTAGCACTTTTGCTCTCAGATGCGTCAATATCGAGAAAAATACGAAAATGTAAAAATTTTATGAATTTGTTGTTTTTTCAACTTAATGGTAACACTTGAGAAAGAGAGCTTGTTATAAAAAAACTTTTAGGATGAAAGTTGTAGCAAATTTTATTCCTAACAATATTGCTCTCTTGCACTTTTGTTCTCAGATGCGTCAATATCAAGAAAAATACGATTATATGAAAATTTGATGAATTTGTTGCTTTTTCAAGTGGTTAATGGTAACACTTGGGAAACTGTGCATATTCCAAAAAAAGGTTGTGGAACGAAAGTTGTAGTTAATTTTATTCTTAGCAATATTGCTCTCTTTCATCTTTGCTCTCAGGCTCGTCAATATTGAGAAAAATTGGAAAATGTAAAAATTTGATGAATTTGTTGCTGACTCAGTTAATGGTAACACTTGAGAAAGAGAGCTTGTTATAAAAAAACTGTTAGTACAAAAGTTGTAGCAAATTTTATTCCTAACAATATTGCTCTCTTGCACTTTTGCTCTTAGATGCGTCAATAGCAAGAAAAATACGCAAATATAAAAATTGGATGAATTTGTTGCTATTTCAAGTTAATGGTAACACTTGAGAAAGAGAGGTTGTTATAAAAAAACTTTTAGTACAAAAGTTGTAGCAAATTTTATTCCTAACAATATTGCTCTCTTGTACTTTTGCTCTCAGATGCGCCAATAGCGAGAAAGATACGAAAATAGAAAAATTGGATGAATTTGTTGTTGTTTCAAGTTGTTAATGGTAAAACTTGGGAAATGGAGCTTGTTATAAAAAAACTTTTAGTACAAAAGTTGTAGCAAATTTTATTCTTAACAATATTGCTTTTTCGTATTTTTGCTCTTAGATGTGTCAATATCGAGAAAAATATGAAAATTGGATGAATTTGTTTTTTCTAATTGCTAATGGTAACACTTGAGAAACAGAGCTCGTTAAAGAAAAACTTTTCGAACAAAAGATGTAGCAAATTTTGTTTTTAACAATATTACTCTGTATAGTTTTAGTTTTATTCAGCTTTAGACTTAGAACTAGAATCATTCGGGTTTAGCAGTCTTGAGAGGCGTTCAGCTAAACCCGAATGTTTCTAGTTCTTGTTATTCAGAGGTGACGTCACGAACTGGCCTTCGAGCTGTGCACCTGTTCCCAAGATGTAGCAGTCCTCTTATATCTATGTAGACTAGACGACTTTTAGCTATAACGAGCACTTCCTTTCCCGTATTAATCCGTTATGTCAAGGTTTAACTTATTGATTAAAAAAAAATTAATACAAAAACTTACTACTAAATCCATTAAATCCTTTGGCTTTTTGTTCATCATCTAAAGGTCCCACAGCTGTTCCCACCAAAAAATCAACAATAGCAGCGGCGATGATTGCGATTAAAAAGTTTTGGGCTTTACTCTCCCACTCCATCCCAATGGCACAGATTAAAATCATTATTAAAAGCGCAATAACACCAACTAATCGGACGTCGTTTAAGCCACCATCGATTATCGACAACCCCTTCGATGCTAAAAGATCGTTTAATGAATTACAAAAACCGATCGTGTTCATCGAGGCTGCCACAGCATTTGCAAAGGCAAAAACGATCCCAACTGAAGCTCCAAATTCGGGACCTAACGATCTTGATATTATGTAATAAATTCCACCTAAAATGTATTAAGTATGTAGATTAAGAATGAGTTTGAGTTAAAAAAATTTTACCTCCTTTTACTTCTCCATTTGTGCAAATAGCCGATAATGATAAAGTAGTTATAATGCAAACGACAGCGGAAATACCAATTATTAAAATTGATTCACCTAAAAATTAATAAATAAAAAATTTAAGATGAATTTGAATCGTTATAAATAGTTTATTTTAAAAATAGGATTAAAGAAGTTTCCTGTTTCTTAAGGAAACTCAACTCATCACATCCCTAAATAACATCATCTTTCTAAATTGATTTGTTTAAAATTTCAAATACACGGTAATGTATTATAAATAATAAATTTATACTTAATTATTGACTGTTTATTATTTACATAGTAATTGTGTTAAATGGAGCGGATGTATTTTTATAAATCAAAAATAATAAAAGAAAATTACGCGGGGAATTTTATTTTTGCGTTGCATCTCGTGCAACGTACCAATATGATGCATTGGATATGAAGAGGATATATTTTCGGTGCCAAAACGTTTCGGAATTTTAATTGAAACTAATGACCGTTTCAAAGATGTTCTTGGATTTTATCTAAATTTGGAATCGCGAAAATAAATAACGGTGACTAAAGTATATTTCTTTTTTGATAACTTCTTGGTATTAATTTTTTAAAATTCATTTTTATTCAAAGAAAATTGTGACTAAATTATTGGCAACTTTGAATTCTTTGGAAAAAATTATGAAATCACCACAAATAATCGGAAAGGTATGTTAAAGTTAACTTGGATACTATTTATAGCAATGTGAAGTTAGCTCAATGAGATTGAGTTAAAAATTAGTTTCTAGTTAAAGGAATTTTAGAGTTCCTGCTGAAGTCTGCAACCTAACAAGACCAATTCCAGTTCAATTTTAGACTTTTTAATAAAGTCTGGAATCTTGCTTTGGTGTTTTCAGCCCAGTACTTGCGATTTAGACTCTTATCAGTAAAATTACAGACTTTTAGAATTCGCTAATCATAATTTCTAACATTTTCATAATAATTAAACTTTGATTAGGGTAATTCCAAAGTTGTTGTTGACGTATGGAGTCTAACTGGAGGAATTCCATATTCTTTTTTGCAGTATGACATCTCTCCAGTATAATCCAGACTATTACTTGCATTATGGCAAATTTTGGCAATTGTTTTTTAGAACAATTCCAAACTTTTGATTGAAATATAACATTTCTGCAGTATAATTCCAGACTTTTGCATGCAATATAACATCCTTCCAGTATAATTCTAGACTTTTGCATGCAATATAACATCCTTCCAGTATAATTCCAGACTTTTGCATACAATATAACATCCTTCCAGTATAATTCTAGACTTTTGCTTGCAGTATGACATTTCTCCAGTACAATCCAGACTATTAGTTGCATTGTGGCAATTTTTTAGAACAATTCCAGACTTCTGATTGCAATATAACATTTCTGCAGTATAATTCCAGACTTTTACATGCAATATAACATCTTTCCAGTATAATTCTAGACTTTTGCTTGCAGTATGACATTTCTCCAGTACAATCCAGACTATTACTTGCATTATGGCAATTTTTTAGAACAATTCCAGATTTCTGATTGTAATATAACATTTCTGCAGTATAATTTCAGACTTTTACATGTAATATAACATCCTTCCAGTATAATTCCAGACTTTTGCTTGCAGTATGACATTTCTCTAGTATAATCCAGACTATTACGTGCATTACGGCAATTTTTTTGTACAATTCCACACTTTTGCTTGCAATATAACATTTCTCCAGTATAATTTCAGACTTTTGCTTGCAATATAACATCCTTCCAGTATAATTCCAGACTTTTGCTTGCAGTATGACATTTCTCCAGTATAATCCAGACTATTACTTGCATTACGGCAAATTTTTAGTACAATTCCACACTTTTGCTTGCAATATAACATTTCTCCAGTATAATTTCAGACTTTTGCTTGCAATATAACATCCTTCCAGTATAATTCCAGACTTTTGCTTGCAGTATGACATTTCTCCAGTACAATCCAGACTATTACTTACATTATGGTAATTTTTTAGTACAATTCCAGACTTTTGCTTGCAATATAACATTTCTCTAGTATAATTCCAGACTTTTGCATGCAATATAACATCCTTCCAGTATAATTCTAGACTTTTGCTTGCAGTATGACATTTCTCCAGTACAATCCAGACTATTACTTGCATTATGGCTATTTTTTAGAATAATTCCAGACTTCTGATTGCAATATAACATTTCTGCAGTATAATTCCAGACTTTTGCATGCAATATAACATCCTTCCAGTATAATTCCAGACTTTTGCTTGCAGTATGAAATTTCTGCAATATAATCCTGACTACTACTTGCATTATGGAAGATTTTTAGTACAATTCCAGACTTTTGCTAGCAATATAACATTTCTCCAGTACAATTCCAGACTTTTTCTTGCAGTATGACATCTCTCCAGTATAATTCAAGACTTTTTCTTGCAGTATGACATCTCTCCAGTATAATTCCAGAGTTTTGCTTGCAATATAACAACTTTCCAGCATAATTCCAAACTTTTGCTTGCAGTATGACATTTTTCCAGTATAATCCAGACTGTTACTTGCATTATGGACGTTTTTTAGTACAATTTCAGACTTTTGCTTGCAATATAACATTTCTCCAGTATAATTCCAGACTTTTTCTTGCAGTAGGACATCTCTCTAGTATAATTCAAGACTTTTTCTTGCAGTATGACATCTCTCCAGTATAGTTCCAGACTTTTGCTTGCAGTATGACATTTTTCCAGTATAATCCAGAATATTACTTGCATTATAGAAGTTTTTTAGTACAATTCCAGACTTTTGCTTGCAATTAAAACATTTCTCCAGGATAATTCCAGACTTTATCTTGCAGTATGACATCTTTCCAGTGTAATTCTAGACTTTTGACTTGCTGTTGACGTCTGGAGTCTAACCGGAGTAATTCCAGTTTTTTTTTTCTTTAGGTTGGAGTCTTATCAGTGCAATTTGAGATTATTTCGTAAAGTTTGAAGACTTACCACAATATTTTCAACCCTATTCTTGCAGTTAAGAAACCTATCAATACAATTACAGCCTTTTGGAATTCAACAAAATCAATTTCTGGCATTTTCTTAAAAATTAACCTCTGGCTAAAGTAATTCTAGATTTACTGTTGAAGTCTGGAGCCTCTCAAAACAATTCCAGATTATTTCTTTACATTGGAGTCTTACTAGTTTCATTTAAGACTTTTCCATAAAGTCTAGAATTTTGCTTCGGTATTTCCAGACCAAAACTAGCGATTTAGACTTTTATTAGTAGAATTATAGACTTTTGCAATTCGCCCAGCTTAATTTCTAACATGATCACAAAAATTGGACTCAAATTAGGTTAGTTTCAAACTTGCTATTGACGTCTGGAGGCTAACCAGAGTAATTTCAGATTTTTCTTCAATTTGAAGTCTTATCAGTGCAATTCAAGACTTTTTCGTAAAGTTTGAAGACTTACCACAGTATTTTCAGCTCTTTTCTTGCAGTTCAGAAACCTGTCAATACAATTACAGCCTTTTGGAATATACCAACTTTGAAGATTGGCCTCTGAGTGGATTCCAAACTTTTGCTTGCAGTATCTAACACAAAATCATAGATTTCCTTAAAATATATAGTCTTGTCCGTGTAATTCTTGTGATCTAGAAGCTTATTAGTGCTGATGCAGGTGTTTAGAATCTAACCAGAATGATTCTAGACTTTTCTCGCACTATGACATCAATCCAGACAATAAATCGTGATATTTTTTTAAAGTCTGGATGGAGCATTATGTGACATTTTCTTGAAAATTAAACTCTAGCAAAAGTAACTTCCAACTTATTTTTTATTGCATAGTGTCTGATCCTAGTGATTCCAAACTTGTTTTTGAAGCCTAGTCTTGATAGTTGAAGTGTGAGTTTAATTAACATTAATTCCAGAGTTTTGCTTGCAGTATGGCATCTAGCCAGAACAAATCCAAACATTTTCTTAACGTTTGGAATCTTGCCAGTGTTATTAGAAAGTTGTTCTTGTGGTCTAAAATCTTCTCGGGGCAATTACAATTTTTCTTCTCGCAGTTTTTAATTTATCCAGCGCAATTACAATTACATTTTCTGGAACATGGATTCATTTGATTCCAGCTAGAGTAACAACTAATAGCTCCATTTGGTTGCGTGGTGTTTGACCGTTTCAATTCCAAACCTGATTTTTCAGTCTGAAGATAAACTAGAGTAGGAATCTTACCAGTATAATCATACACTTGATCTTATACTCTAGAATACTGTCGGTGTGTTACAAATAAGTTCTTGCAGGATGGAATTTAGCCAATAAAAAATAGATAGCAGACACTTTTATTAAAGTTTGGAATTATGCCAATGCAGTAATTGACTTTTGTTGCAATAATACATCTCTCCAGTATAATTCCAGACTTTTGCTTGTAGTATAGCATCTATTCAGTACATATCTAGACTTTTGTTTGCAGTATGACATTTTTTTATTATAATTCCAGACTTTAACTTGCTGTATGAGATCTGCTCAGTATAGTTCCTGACTTTTGCTTGCAATACGGCATCTATTCAGTACATATCTAGACTTTTGCTTGTAATATGACATTTATTTATTATAATTCCAGACTTTTACTTGCAGTTTGGGATCCGCTCAGTATAATTCCAGACTTTTACTTGCAGTGTGAGATAATTCTTGACTTTTGCTTGCATTATGGAAATATTGAGTACATATCTACACTTTTGTTTGCAATATTACATTTCTCCATTACAATTCTAGGTTTTTACTTGCAATATAGAAACTAACCAGTACAAATCCAGACATTTTCTTATAGCCTTGTGTCATGGTGTGAATTTAACCAATAACAAATAGATAGCAGACACTTTTATTAAAGTTTGGAGTTATACCAATGCAGTAATTGACATTTCCTTGCAGTATAGCATCTATTCAGTACATATCTAGACTTTTGCTTGTAGTATGACATTTCTTTATTATAATTCCAGACTTTTACTTGCAGTATGGGACCTGCTCAGTATAATTCCTGACTTTTGCTTGAAATATGACATTTCTTTATTATAATTCTAGATTTTTACTTGCAGTATGATCTCTGCTCAGTATAATTCTGAACTTTTGCTTGAAGTATGGACATATCCAGTACATATCTAGACTTTTGCTTGCAGTATGACATTTCTTTAATATAATTCCAGACGTTTACTTGCAGTATGGGATCTGCTCAGTATAATTCCTGACTTTTGCTTGCAATATAGCATCTATCCACTACAAATCTAGACTTTTGATTAAAATATGACATTTCTTTATTATAATTCTAGATTTTTACTTGCAGTATGATCTCTGCTCAGTATAATTCTGGATTTTTGCTTGCAGTATGGAAATATCCAGTACATATCTAGACTTTTGCTTGTAGTATGACATTTCTTTATTATAATTCCAGACTTTTACTTGCAGTATGGGATCTGCTCAGTATAATTCCTGACTTTTGCTTGCAATATGGCATCTATTCACTACATATCTAGACTTTTGCTTGAAATATGACATTTCTTTATTATAATTCTAGATTTTTATTTGCAATATGATCTCTGCTCAGTATAATTCTGAACTTTTGCTTGCAGTATGAAAATATCCAGTACATATCTAGACTTTTGCTTGCAGTATGACATTTCGTTATTATAATTCCAGACTTTTACTTCTGTATGGGATCTGTTCAGTATAATTCCTGACTTTTGCTTGCAATATGGCATCTATTCACTATATATCTAGATTTTTGCTTGAAATATGACATTTCTTTATTATAATTCCAGACTTTTACTTGCAATATGGGATCTGCTCAGAATAATTCCTGACTTTTGCTTGCAATATGGCATCTATTCACTACATATCTACACTTTTTCTTGAAATATGACATTTCTTTATTACAATTCTAGATTTTTACTTGCAGTATGATCTCTGCTCAGTATAATTCTGAACTATTGCTTGTAATATGGAAATATCCAGTGCATATCTAGACTTTTGCTTGCAGTATGACATTTCTTTATTGTAATTCCAGACTTTTACTTGCAGTATGGGATCTGCTCAGTATAATCCCTGACTTTTGCTTGCAATATGGGATCTATTCACTACATATCTAGACTTTTGCTTGAAATATAACATTTCTTTATTATAATTCCAGATTTTTACTTGCAGTATGATCTCTGCTCAGTATAATTCTGAACTTTTGCTTGCAGTATGGAAATATCCAGTACATATCTAGACTTTTGCTTGCAGTATAACATTTTTTTATTATAATTCCAGACTTTTACTTGCAATATGGCATCTATTCTCTACATATCTAGATTTTTGCTTGAAATATGACATTTCTTTATTATAATTCTAGATTTTTACTTGCAGTATGATCTCTGCTCAGTATATAATTCTGAACTTTTGCTTGCAGTATGGAAATATCCAGTACATATCTAGACTTTTGCTTGAAATATGACATTTCTTTATTATAAATTCAGATTTTTACTTGCAGTATGATATTTCTCCACTACAATTCTAGACTTTTGCTCGCAATATGGAAACTAGTACAAATCCAGACATTTTCTTATAGTCTTGTGTCATGCCAATGTAATTACAGATTTATTCTTGTAGTGTAGAATCATGACAACCCACTTATAGATGTTTCTTTGCAGTTAGGATTCTAGAATAAAGCCAAAATTGCTGATAAAGTCTGGAGACTAATTCCAGGATTTTGCTTGCAGTAAGCAATTACAAATTTCTTTCTTTTTACATTATGTTTTCTGCTGGTTGTCATTATAGTCTTGTTTTTGATGAGGAACGTTTTATTCTATTATCTAAACATTTCCCTAATTCATATCCACCCTTTATAAATATACAGGATGCGGCAAAAGTAACTCAATAGCAAATAAATCGAAAGAAGTTTTTTCTACTGAATGATGTTCAGACAAGAACTCAAAACGCTCCCTAAATGAAGCAAAAATAATTGTTGGTTACGTTTATTTATTTAACTTTTTTTCTGACACGAGTTTACCACTATTTAAATATCAAATTAAAAATCATTTAACACAACAACAATAATATACAAAACACATAAAAACGAATTTGACAAAAACATTTTAAAAAAGTTTAAGTTTATTCTAATAAATCGTTCAACAAAGCGACTTAATTCTCAAGAACTTTTGAAACGTATTTCGGCGAACATTAAAATAATGGTTCAAATTTTCGCCAGTTCACTCCCCGCAAGATCGCAAACATTTTATTATTATCGTCGAAGGAAAAATCGAAACTAAACTCATTCATCAAAATTCGTCAAACATCAAACGTAACACAACACATAAATCACTTAAATTCCAATAAATCCGTCAACGTTTTCTTCGTTCCGAACGGAGAAAATAACGACGATGGCAAACTAATAAACGTATCCAAACCGATTTGACGTTCTGTTTGTGCACTGCGTTCACTGTTTTTGTGTTTGTGCACAAGTTTTAGAAATCAATGTGAATTTATTTTTAAAATTATCCCCGAAACATATTTTTACCGAATCATTTTGTCACCGAATTCTAAGTACTCTTTATAAATCGATTTAACCAACAAGTTGAGTAAACGGAGTAAATTACAAAGCTAACAGTTATACTTAGCGAGAAAACGTCGTTTATGAGTAATTTATCGACCAGAAAAGAAAAACGGGTTAAAATCGATTTAAAAAGAAAAACTCAACTCTTTCGGTTCTCTCTTTAATCAAAATATTTAAGGATTCCAAATGAAATTTAAATAGAGATCTATTTAAAACGAAAAAAACTGTAACGAATAACATTTAGAAAAAAAAAAAAAAAAAAATATCATGAGGCTGTGTCGTCACGATAAATACCGAAAATTCTACACCTTCTAATTTACAAAACGATAATTGAAACTATCAGATTGTAATTTTTCGTGTAAACAGAACATAACGCGGATATAAATTTTTAACTGGGTGTTAAATGTATGAAAATTAAAATGTTTATTACTTCTAGAAGGTGATTGTGTAATTTATTTTAAACTTACCGATTCCCGATTGTGCAACAACCCACGATAAACGTAAAAACAACATAACACCCCAAATGTTAAGTAAACATGGAATGAGAACTCCTTGAATCCAACCAAGTTTAATTCCATGGTGTCCTGGGGCGTTTGAATCTGTTGCTTCAATTCCACCATTATTTTCCTGTTAATAATATAAAAATAAAAATCATTAGATTCATCAAATTAGATTAAATTTGTTTCTTATTTTATCAAGATATTAATCCTAAAAAGACTGAGATTGTTGTCTTCATCAAACAGAGAAAACTGGGACACTTAACACTACCCCATTTCTACAAGAGTACATTAACCTTTGCTCTAGACGTGAAATATCTTGGAACTTGGAAATCACACCTCAGTTGCAAAATCAAAAAACCTACCCAATGTTGAAGGGACAATTATGGCTCCTACTAAGCACGGTCTCAGCGAAACACCCTGTATGGAGGTGGGAAAGTGAGCGCTGCGTTTTGAAGAGAGGGTGAAAGATAGAGGGTTATTTTAAAATCTTGGTGGAGTGCTACAGACAGATTGAGGCAAGTAAGAAGCGTTATGGGCATCGAGAAAGGGCAGAAAGGGGTGCGGTATTGTGTAAGAATGCAAGAGAGAAGGACGGCGATAAGGGAAAGGAAGTACAATCCAAAATATAAGAAAATTGTAGTAGAGGGGCTACCAAAGTATCTGAGGACGGAGGGGAATGAGGAGGGAAAGAGGTTGGTAGTCAAGTTTAGGTGTGGCAATGAAGAAAGGGCCAACAGATATTGGATGGAAGATGAGGAGAGGGGGTGCAGACTGTATGGGGAGGGCTGGGAGTATTTACACCATCTACTGGTGGAGTGTAGTGAGTTGAAGGGGGAGAGAGCGGAAAGAAGGAGATGGATGGTGTAAAACGAGGAGACGTAGGGAAGGAGACAGGGAGAGGTTGGTTGAAGGTGATTGATAGTGATTAGATAAGTTATAGTAATTGTATAAGTATTTGTATAAATTGTAACCTTGTGGGGGGCAATAAATTATTATTATTATTAATAACAAAGATGCGGCATCCGAATAATCCATTACACAACATTCATAGGAACAGACAAACATCACAGCAATACCGGAAAGACACGAACTGTTATGACAAAAATTTATCAACAGGACATTCCTTGAAATATATATGAAATTATTAGAAAAACTTAGTGACATAACATGAAAAAGAATGCGTAAATAATATATATCTATAATATGTAAATAATTTTTAACAGTTTTCTACACCGGAAAGAGCTGCAAATGTAGGTCTAGTTATAGCAGAATTAAAGATATATCCCGGAAAATGATAATATCTCAACTTCCGACATGTAATTCAATAAAATTTTTTAATAAAACATGTAAGAAATCTATATTATTTCCATATTTTACATAAAAACTGTATAAGTTATTATTATCTTTGGTAATCCATGTTGCGAGTCATAAATGTATATAAAATTTAGGTATTTAAAAAAAAATAACTTAAAATTAATATATTCAGAACCGGTTTCGGCTAAGAAGCCATCATCAGCTGAATCTACAATAAATAGGTATAGGAATGTTTATAGATAAATTGTAGAGAATTAAATTCTCTTTCGGGTAGCCCCATATTTTATTAGCCTACCCGAAAGAGAATTTAATTCTTAGTCTACCCTTTTAAACTACTAAACGTAACCACCCCCTTTACATTTTTGCTAAAACTTTTTTTATGCAGATGATAAATATATTAGAAAAATTGTACATAGGTACTTACTAGACTTTTTTGTCTCTCTAAAAATTTTCCAAAAACGGCTAATTTTTAAGAGAAAAAATAATAAAGCAACCACTGCCCGTTAAACAACGTTTTAATGAAAAAATCTTAGTAGGCTTTGCAATCTTTGTCATAAATATTTTTAACGTTTAAATGTCAGTTTTTCTTACTATTATTATTGTTTTTCAAATTAATTTTTAAATAAAGTTCTATCGCATTTACGCTCGTTCACTCGACGTTTCAAAATTTCAAATAAAACAATAATTATAGTATGAAAACCACTGACATTTAAACGTCAAAAATATTTATGACAAAGATTGCAAAGCCTACTAAGATTTTTTTTCATTACAACTTTCGATTAACAACCCTGCAGCTTAACAGTTAGTGTTTGCTTAATTACTTTTTTTCTCAGAAATTATTAAATTTTAGAAGAACATCAGAGAGACAAAAAAGTTTTAGAATAGTTTTATCTATGTAACTGAAATATTAATTCATAAATTGAACGGGGGTGGTTAAGTTTAGCAGTTTGGAAAGGTAGGTTGAAAGTATAAATAGGGTCAAAACGTGCCCTATTATGAATTAAACATATTCCCAAAATTTCATATTCCTAGCGTTGATGGTTTTTGCGAAAAAAAAATTAAACCAAAAAATTCCGCCATTTTTGGAGGGATGTAACTTCTTAGGGGAGCCGAAGTTGCCCATGGTTTATATATATTAAAGTACCCTTAAAATTCACTAAAAAATCACTCTTTGAAGTTTGTTGCAGTCATTTAGATACAACCTGTATATATTTATACAGGGTGTCTCACGTAACTGGTTTGTTAGAACTGTTTTAGGTTCCACTATTCGTAGAGGTTTAAAATTTTGGTAACATGGATTATTCATTCTAAACTTCCGATCTAACATATTTTCAAAATGGCCACCACTTCCGGAAGTAGACCACTACTTCGTTATTTTCAATGGAATGCTATAGTTTTTATTACACCTTTCAATTATACGTAAAAAAATATGTTGACTTTGATAAAAGTTGTTGGTACCTAGCATTTTTTGTTTTCGAGTTATTTTGATTTTAAGGTTTTTTTGGCAAATTTCACCATGCTCTTTAAAACCCCATATCTCAGCTAACGTTCATTAAAAAAAACTCTAAATTGGCACTATTACTCTTCAGATGTTGTCAAATAGATTGTCATTTCTTGTATCAGAGTATCTTATACAAATTTCCATGAAATGGATCATGGAAATGGCCTCCACGATCTCCAGATTTAACACCATTGGATTTTTTATTTGTGGGGTCACTTAAAAAGTCAAGTGAACAATTTACCGGTCAACACACGACAAGAGTTGCGTGATAGAGTGGTGCGCTACATAATAGTGATGGTGAAAGAAAAGTTGAAAAATGTTTAATGATGAATGGTCAGCATATCGAACAGTTTTAATTTTTTTATAATTTTAAGTTTTTGTTTTTTTATATGTTATTCATTCATATTTCTGTTATTAAATTGTTGTTTTTCATTGTTTCATTTATTCGTTTTCTGTTGGTTGTTGTTGGTAAATAAAAGCTAGCAAGCTAAAGGCTATTCAACCATAGTTAAGTGTAGAAATAATACCAATAATAATTTAAATAAATTAAACGATAAACTGTCAAAATTTCTTGGCCTGCTAACAAAAACACAAACGGTTTCTGGGATTCTATATCTGATTTTGATTAATTTTCCAATATGAGGAAAACTACAATAAATAGGTATAGGAATGTTTATACATAATTTGTAGAGAATTAAATTCCCTTTCTGATAGGGTAAAGAAATATGGGGCGTTCCATTTAAAATTTTCGACTTTCTTACTATTGAATATGGAGAAACGATAATTCAATTTTTGACCAGCCTGTATAAGATTCTCTGATACAACAAATGACAATCTATTTGGCAGCATCTGTAGACTAGTCGTGGCAATGCAGAGCTTTTTTGAATGATGGTTAGCTGAGATATGGGCTTTTAAAGAGCATGGTGAAATTTGTCAAAAAACAGTTAAAATCAAAATAACTCGAAAACAAAAAACGCTAGGTACCAATAACTTTTATCAAAGTCAACATATTTTTTTACGTATAATTGAAAGGTGTAATAAAAACTATAGCATTCCATTTAAAATAACGAAGTTGTGGTCTACTTCCGGTAGACCGGAAGTGGTGGCCATCTTGAAAATATTTTAGATCGAAAGTTTAGAATGAACAACCCATGCTACCAAAATTTCAAACCACTACGAATAGTGGAACCTTAAAAAGTTCTAACGAACCAGTTACGTGAGACACCCTGTATATA